CATATCTTCACAAGGTAACTGCAAATTACAAACTTTTAATTTATCATTTATTATTATACATATTTCGGTTGAGTAATTTTGTCTTACTTTTTGGACTTATTAAAAATATTTTTCTTTCTTTCCTTTCTTCTTTTGGGTAAATTTGAAGGGACATTGGATGAGATCAATAGAGCCTGCTGGATATGAATTCTCATTCAAGCCTCCAATTTATGATATTAATGCACCAGATTTGTGCATTCCTATGATGGCATTTGGTACTTATTTGGTTCTTGCTGGTTTCGTTTTGGCGTCGATGGCAAGTAAGTTCATACTTTTATTTCAACAATATTAGTTGAGTGACGTCGCCACCCATTAACTATTTTATAATTGTACATCTATGTCGATAATTGATCACTATAACCTTTCAATTTATTGGTAAAAAGTACTTTAATCGAGACACATCACAACAACAAAAAGCGCTTATAGTACTCCATCCCTCCCCCAAGCATGTTCAAATAACTTATTTGATTCATTGTTGAAAGATTCAAACAACTAGATTCTTAGCAACAATTACAACATACCATGTTAGTCGTAAAACAAACTTTATTTACATGTTTTTCTTTCTCCTTGAAAAGAAAAGGAGATAAAGAATAATTGAGATCCATCACATAGTACTTTGATGTCTAAAAAAAGAAAAGATGGAAGTTTTTTTGCCTATGTTTGACAATCATAATTTGAGTTAGGGCTGTAAACAAAAACCGTCAAACCGAAAAATCTAACAGAAACCGCAATTTCGAAACCAACAGTTTGGTGCCACATGGACCCGTCAACGAAATGGTTTTGAACCAAACCAAACCGGTCAAAAATGGTTTGATCTAGGTTTGAGAATTTTAATTACGGTTTAAAACCAAATCGGACCGATGAAAAACTATATAAAATAAAAAATAAAAAGTTGAATTTTTTTGAAAATTTATCCAAAATTCCAATTTTATAAATTCAATAATTTTGTCATTTTGTTAGTATTTTTGTTAATTTCTAATTTCCTATAAATTATTACGATTTACGACCTGCTCAAATTTCAACCCGACCCAACCTGCTATTCTAATTTAAAAAAAAAAAAAGAACTCAAACTCTTACAAACACAACCCTAATCCATAACCTTCCATTTCTCTCTCTCTCTTGCTCTTAAATTTTCCTCAAATAGTCGGTAGTCTATTGTCAGAATTTTCAGTTGCCAACAATGGTTGTCGGTAGCCTACGGTCAGTCACAACTGATAGCCTTCAATTTCGTTGCAAGACTGCGTAATTTTTTGTGACATGTGGGTTAGTTCTGTGACTTTTTTATATATTTTTTGTAATTTTAGTTACATAGCTGAGTGTTCTTGATTTTTGAACATGGAAACCGTCTAAGTTATTACTAAACATAATTTGTCATCTCGATTCTTGAAAATCTCCAAATTCGTGATTTTTTGTGACCTGTGGATTATTTCTATTTTTGAAGTTCTGTGATTTTAGTTACATAACTGCGTGTTCTTGATTCTTGAATATGGAAACCGTCTAAGTTGTCTTTGGAATTATATGACTGTGATTCTAGTTTATTGTGATTTTACTTTGATTTTGTTGGTATTTAAATTTATATTAGATATATTTAGTTTATTTTAGATTTATTGCCAGTAAGATATAAATATATATTGAATTAATGGTATAAAAGTAGACACTAGACTGACAAAAAAATATATGCAAATCGACGGTTTAAAATCGGACCAAACCATTAAGGTTTGAGTTTTTGTCAAACCGGTTGAAACGGTTTGGTTTGAAGATTTGTTAAAAATTGGTGAAATCGGACTGCTTATACCCCTAATTTGAATAAAATGGAGATTNTGCGCAAAAGACATTTGTTTACATATGAGAGAATATGTATAATTCCTTGTTAAATTGTAGAAGATGAAGGTGGATATATATAGTGGAATGGGGGAGAAAAATATTTGCTACTTGTTTTTTGGAAGCCATTATTAGATGGATCCGTGTCTTAATTCTTTTTTTTTTCCAATTTGCTAATTAAAATTTTTTTTGTGTATGAAGGACAAAATTGATCATGAGTTCTGTGGCTTCTTGAGTATGTGAATGTTTCTTCCTTTTGCTAGTCTAGTGAGTTCTGTGACAAAATTTGATGTTTCTTAAGTTTTGTGACAAAATTAATTCGTTTATTCCTTTTGCTAGTTGAAAATGGACATTATTACGTTTTTTTGGATCTTATATTTATTTTAGTGGACTTGTATTGTATATTTATCATAAAGTATTATCCTAAAACGTCAAAAGGGCGAAAAAAAAAATGCTTTAATTTATTGTGATTTTACTTTTATTTTGTTGGTATTTAAATTTATAATAGATATATTTAGTTTGTTTTAGATTTATTGCTAGTAAGATATAAATATATATTGAATTAATGACATAAAAGTAGACACTAGACTGCCAAAAAAATATATGCGAAATTGACGGTTTAAAATCGGACCAAACCGTTAAGGTTTGTGTTTTTCTCAAACCGGTTGAAACGGTTTGGCTTGAAAATTTGTTAAAAATCGGTGAAATCGGACCGCTTATACTCCTAATTTGAGTAAATGAAGTTTTAAAATAATGGTTGCAAAATGGACACGAAATAATGATAATACTTTTAAAATTAATTTATAAAATTATATAACATAGGTAAATAACAATCCGTTGTAGTCTAGTTGGTTAGGATACTCGGCTCTCACCCGAGAGACCCGGGTTCAAGTCCCGGCAACGGAATTTCTTTTTTACATCGCTGGTCTTCGATTCGGTTCATTTCTTTTTTAGTTCTGATAATTATTTATCGGTTCTTGTCAGCCCACACATATCCACAATCCATTCCATTCACCCACCCCCTTTTTTTGGTGGCAAAGAATCATATAGCAGCTCAAATTTGTCTGCTTCAGCGCCAGCCTCTGCAGAGATTCAGTTGCTGTATTTTGCTGCACGCACAGAGACGGTGAGAGTGTAGACGCTTTTCTTGTAGTTTTCAATTTTGTCTATGCACAATTAAGTTTTTGCATATTGGTATATCTTGTGCTTAATCCTTTTGTTTTCTGTTTTCTGTTTACTTTTTTTTTTTTTGGAACTGTTTTGATTAAGAATAAACCACAACATTTTGGAAATTTCTGTTCGTGTTTTATGTTCTTGATAGTATTAATTTATTCTGAATTGAATAACAAGGGGTGTGAAAAGAGATAATTTTTTAGTCAGAAGAAGTTTATGGGCTATGGAGATTTGGGCAAAATCTTTCGGTAAAGGTTGTGTATTTCTGTAGTGGACTTCATAAATTAGTCGGAAATAGATGAAAATACAAAATAAGTCATTTTATTGGTCTTGTTCGAGTGCTTTTACGAAAAAAGTAGGAAAGATAACAGGGAATGCAATACCTTTTGGTCAGGAGATGAATGTGGCAATGTATGGTTTCATTCTTATTTTGTGTTCCTAAGATATCAACACCAGTTAGAAATATTGGCACTTGTTAATAGGGAAAGGTCCTCTCGATGCTCTATAACACCCATGTTGGATATGGACCGAATTGTCTCACGACATTCTGAATCCCACCTCACGTACGGCTCTAATGGACTAATAGGTTTAGGGATAATCAGGCTTGACATGCGGGTGGCATATCGAAATTCCTCCTCGACTGAACAACCTTTCGATCGGATCGTCCCAGCAGAGCGATTAAAAGCGTCTTTGGAGCGAATTCCTTTGAAGTAGTTAGTGCTCTAATTGAGCGAGCCGTGGATCATAAATGATGAGCGTAGCTTAATTTAGTGGATAGAGTTCTTGGAACCAACCAAAGCCGCCCCTATGCTAGCTGTACGCTCTCCCTTTATGCAAACAAAGGGGTGCGCAAGTAAGAAACTAAAGCAAGATCCAGACCGATCCACCAATCAAATCAGTGGGAAAAAAAAAAAAGCATTTCGACAGGAATGAAAGAAAACTGTTTCAATAGCTGAGTGGAATGTGTTGTGCAATAGCCAGAATTTTGGGTAAAAATTGATACATATTGGGAGACTGCTTGGATTAGTTTTAATTTCTTCTGTTTTTATTTTACATGCTGGTTAACAAGTTTAGAAATATTGACGCAACGTAAATTTTTTTCGTTCTGTTTGAGATTCTTTTCTCCTTATGAGAATATTAAAAGATCCTACTCGGGCCACAACCAAAGCAAATAAGTGCCAATTTGAGGTTCACCTGAGAAATATTGAGACTGTTCCTGTGCAAACAAGACTTGGTTCATCTTCTGCCCTAGATTTGGTGCAGCTGCTGCTCTTATTAGGACAGGCCTATGAATTGTTATCCATGACTCAACACTCTTCCAGCAAGTGCTTCCCACCGTTCTCAGAGTTTAAGGCTGGGCATTGTCCTGTTTGCATATTTGTTTTAGCTTCCCTCTCTATTAATCTTTATCACTATTTATGTAACTATGTGATTTACATGATTAAACCTGTAGAAGGAATGTATAAACTTGCGAATCGTCTGTTTTTTGAACTTCATTTGATCCTTTTATATCTCCATATTTCCATTCTTTCTAGATTGGTTTCTGTATATTGCGGAGGAGCTGAATATAATCAGAAAGTCGTTTGCACTACTGTCCCTTGGTTAGTCCTCTCTCTATCTTCCACTTTTACATTTTTCTGCAAATTTTCCTCTACGTTGTTGACCCTCTTTTCTTATTTCTTTTTCTATTTTGTATACATATTTCTTCATTAATCATCATTCGCAATTGAAGACAAGATGAAATTCTCTGAGTTTCTCTTGATTTCTTCTTATTTTGGTTTCTTTATTTCCGTCCTTGTCTTTTTTCTGTTTCTGGATTGCTTTTTCTTGGGTGGTGGGGGCTATTGAAAAAATAAAACGTGTTGGACATGGCAAACATTAATTTTTTAATGTATATATTGGTCACACGTGCACTTAAAAACAGTGGAGATTACAGTTTAAAAGCAATGTGTTCCTGATTTCAGAGAATGGAATGTGGTTGTCTGCAATCCCTGTTTGGCAATACTATTTTGTTGAAGAGTGAAAGGAGGATACCTCCAAAATTTGATCTTCTAAAATGCAATACACAGCAGGGTCTCAGTTCGCTCGATTCTTTGAAGGTACAATTTGTTCTCGCCATGATTTGATTACAGTGGTTTCTTGCAGCTCTAAATAATGGCCAGCTATATTCACACCATATTTTTGTATGACTGTACCACATTTTAATTATGCGAAAGGTCCCTGACCTTTTTACCCATTGTAAAATTTATATCCTCAACCTTTTTAATCACATTCTTATTTTAGCCGTCCATTAATTAGCACAATTTGTTCTGAACAACAGTTTTCATCCAAATATTACGTTAAGAAATGATAAAAGACTTATTTGTCCCTCGTATTTTTAAATAAGAAACGAAAACAAATAATGAAAGATAAATACTTCTTCCTTATTTTAAAGCACACCAGCATAAGTTTTGAAAGGAAACTTTCATTAAGGATAAGATGTGGTAATTAATATAAGGTTGATGCTAAAAATGTTTCGAGATAAGAATAGCAAGCTCGAAGGGTAGCTTTGGACGGTTGTGAGGGGACAGGTGTTAACGGCGGATAATTTTAGAAGAAAGGGCTATTGTCTTACGGAGTGGTGCTACATGTGTAAGAGGGATGGCGAGACAATCGATCATTTGTTCATTCATTGTGTCGGTGTTCAGTGGATGTGGAATGATATTCTGGTTTCGCAACATATGAGTTGGGTGTTACCAAGGCGTATCAAGGAGGCGGTATGGGCATGGACGAGAAAGTTTCGAGATAAGAATAGCAAGCTCGTTTGGGATCTCTTTCCGATCTTCATGGTGGTGGTGTGGGCATGGAAGAGAAAGTTTCGAGAAAAGAATAGCAAGTTCGTTTGGTATCTCATTCCAGGATGCATTGTTTGGTGTGTGGAGAAAACAAAATGACAGATGCTTTGAAGACAAAAGACGGACGACGGAGTAATTTAGGGAATTGTTTTATTTGACTTTGTATAGTTGGTTTAATGCTATAACCATTAGTCCGATAGAAGGGTTGCCGAATTTTTTATCATTTCTATCTTGTTTAAACTGATAATGCATTCCTTGTATATTATCGTTTGAGTTTTTTATAAAATTTCGTGATTACCTATAAAAAAAAAAAATGTGATGGAAAAAGGTTGAGGACGTAAATGTAACAATAAGTAAAGATTAGAAGCCTTTAATTAAAATGTGGTATATTTATAAAATTTGGTGTGAATATAATCACCCTTAAATAATTTATCATAATTTACCAATATACTCAATTTCGATTTTTCTTCTCATCTGAGTTTTTGTTTATGGATCCTTATTACAAGTTTTGAGATGTTATTGTTATTTAGACTAGAGAAATTTCTGAAAAGTTGAACGTAACAGCTTATGCTTTACCCATTAATGCATACCTTGAAGAAATTAATTTTAATGTATGGAAAATAGTCTATAAAGATATATCATCTCATTAATTAATATCTGCTCTATACTTTTCGGGTTTGTCTCTAGTCACTCCTTTTCTTTTCTTTTTTCTTTATGCATAATTTATATGTGGATAAACTATTGTCAGCATGAGTAGTTTTAACACGAGACTGAATGACTGTTTCGACACAAATTTAAGGTTTCTGAATCGTAGATTTTTCTCTTCTTTTCAATTTTGACGAATTTTAATCTTTTTTAAATCCACTTAGAGTCCACTTATCTTCTGCTACAGTCGATTTCTTTTGTTCTTAGTTCTTCATATGCCAGCATTTAGGCTCCCGAATTAAGTTGACTTATATGGCTGGTTAAATTTGAGATTTATGTCTTTTAGCGTGTCCATAAAAATATTGGCTCTTAATAGTTGATAGTGCTAGAGATGCGTGTAGAGTGTACTTCAGAAATTATGGATGTTCTTATTTCCACTTGCAGCTCAATTTCAGTACTTTGGCAATTCAACTGAAGTTCGCAAGTCCATCAAGGCACTTGATTCAGTTCCAATCACTGGTTATCAGATGTAATCATCCTCAAAATGCAGATATTCCTCGCTATTATTCTAAAAAAGAGAAGAAGCCATTTCCTATACCCATAGTAGAGTTACGACGGGCTGCCCGAGAGAGGCTGAAAAATAGTAACGGCCAACAGAGAAGAGGAGCCCCTCCTCCAAAAAGAGGGTTGGTGGTTCAAAGGCTAATTCCTGTTGCATACAGGGTATTTAATGCAAGAGTAAAATTGATTAACAATCTCAAGAAGCTCTTGAAAGTGGTTCCACTTCATGCTTGCAAGTAATTCTCTACCCGATTTTATGTTTCTATTCACTCCAGAGAGCCACATACAATTGGAAAATGTTTTGATATGTAGTGGAATCGTGCTTGATAATTTTTATTAAAACATATCCAGTAATTAAAATTTGGTGCTTAATTTCTTTGCTTCCACTGATATGACGATCATGGGCTGCCAAAAGTAGTTACGAAGGATTGTTATTGGTTATTTAGCATGGTAATCTTCGACAATTATGGTATATTTGGTAGCGAGATTTGCATAGGGCTCATGGTATCAAGAAAGAAAAAGGAGTGAAATTTCATTATACAATGACATACATGCACCTAAGTGTCTTTGACTCCTCCCAATTCTTCTTCCATTTGATCTCGACTGTTGCAACGCTTGCAGGTGGTGTAATGAAATTCATGTTGGAACTGTTGGGCATCCTTTCAAGTCTTGTAGAGGATCGGGTGCTTCAATACGTAGAGGACTTCATGAGTGGGGAGGCGCAGCTGTTGAAGACATATTGGTACCAGTTGAGGCCTACCACCTGTATGATCGTCTGGGGAAACGTATACGTCACGAGGAGAGATTTTCAATCCCAAGAATTCCAGCATTAGTGGAGCTCTGCATTCAGGCAGGAGTTGACTTGCCCGAATATCCTACAAAAAGAAGACGAAAACCAATCATACGCATTGGAAAAAATGAATTTGTTGATGCAGATGAAAGTGAATTACCAGATCCCGACCCAGATACTCCAAAGCCTTCAGTATTAGCTGAAATACCTGACATTGAAATTTTACCCCCATGCAGCAAAGAAGAAACGGTATTGCTCGCTGAGGAAACACTTCAAGCATGGGAAGAAATGAGGGGTGGAGCCATGAGGCTGATGAAGATGTATCCAGTTAGAGCCTGTGGGTATTGTCCCGAAGTGCACGTGGGCCCCATCGGACACAAAGCGCAGAACTGTGGGGCTCATAAACATCAGCAGCGCAATGGGCAACATGGATGGCAGGCAGCAGTTCTTGATGACTTGATTCCACCCCGATATGTTTGGCATGTTCCTCATATGGACAAGCCTCTGCAAAGGGATCTCAGGAACTTCTACGGACAGACCCCTGCTGTTGTAGAAATATGTGTCCATGCCGGTGCTGGTGTGCCAGAGCAGTACAAGCCAACAATGAGGTTGGATGTGGGGATTCCTACAAATGTTAGAGAAGCTGAAATGGTTGTTTAAAGGTGTTGGGGGTGTAGTAATGTCCATTTTATTGTATTCACATCATAAGGCTCCGTAGTCGGTTTGAATATGATTATACTGTTGCACTTGTGCATGTATCAAAAAACCCTTTTAAGGTGAAAGTGCTGCTTGATTGAAGAAATGATATGCAAAATGCCTTTAGATAATATGGTTTTCCAAATAACGATCCTCGGCAATGGCAGCTTCTACATTGAGGTTCAAAATACAATATTTGGTACTAATTATCTTCACAAACACTTCCAATAATACTGCTATTCTTGCTATAGTCTATGGCTGGGGAGTTCATCAGAATTGCAATACATAAACAACTTTCTGTAGGAAACCTCAAATTCAGATTCATAAAATTTGATGGAATCCTTACTCGATTTTATTGACAAAGCTAATTTCTTGATGAGGAATAATGGAGAGAGAATGAAACATTATTTGATGACATATTTGTTATGTTGTATTAAACAAAAACAGTGAACTAGGTTAGCTAAGATAACAGTTAAATTTGTTCGTTTCTCATGTTTAATCCCTATCTAATCTAACTACTGCATGTCAGCATAGAATTATCCATATGAATGCGTGGTATGGGCCAATAGCAGAGCCCAGACCCATGTTCAGGCCCAATACGTTCTCTTGGTTTGTTTGATTACAAATTAGTCCCTAATTATTTCTGTTTCATCTCAGGCACTCTGTATTGTTTTGCTGAGTTAATAGTGACCATCATTTTTATCGTTCGGTTAAGTATCATGTATTATTGAACAAATCGTGCTAGGCTCATGATAGAACTGTCCATCAGTCCATGTCAATGCATGGGAGTGTATTGTCATGGACTTTGGCCAAGATCGTCTCAACTTCCCATTTTGATTCTCCATTTCTCAGTGACCTCTAATGGAAGAGAAGGATCGGCAATGATTGTGGGCACCTTCTACCCTAAGAAAGCTTTACAGCGCAAGGTGGATTCAATAGTATTCAACAATATAAAAGACTAAAAAGGTTAAATTCCGAGCATAGCAAGCACGTCTTTAAACAAGATACAGTAGTCTTGAGACAGGTAACTAAAGATGAAAGATTGGGGGATTTCTGCATAGACAGATGATTCTTGGGCTGCTTGCTTTACACAGGCAGCAGCCATTTTATAACAAATAGCCAAGCAACAAAAGTTTTTGCCAGCTCCTGCCTCGATAAGAATAGTAGAGACTGTTAATTGCAGTGAAAATGAGATTTTACATATTATGGAACAGTTGATGCAAAATTCAGCACTTTGCGAGATATTAATTTTAGCTGTGACAAATAGGAAAAAAGTACCTTATACATATTTCATCAACAAAAGTATCATTACAGGAATTCTTCTCGTTATAACTAAAATGGGATAGTTCAGGAATAAGAATTACCAAATTTATAAATGCAAAGGAGATAAGCAAGATAACTTCTATGATTCGGGAGTTCAAAGGTTAAACCGAGCAAAACCTTGAAAGCAACAATGGTGTGGCATACGCTTTGAAAATGACCCCAGGGGTTTAATTAGCTTTCTTGAGGGACTATAAATATTTACTTTCGTGTGCTATCATTTAGTCGATCTTCACCGAGGAGTAGATGAGCCTAGTGAACCAGAAACAAGCATAGAAACCGATTGTACCAGTCAGCACAAAGAAAGAGTATGAAGCGATCAGCATGTACCCAAAGTAGAGAACACCAGATACTGGTTTTGTGATGTCAAGCTTTGTGAAGAAGTAGAAAGCCGCATAAAGGAAGAGGTAGAGTGCTGATGACCCTGATGTCAGGTATGATCTCCACCACCAGAGATAGTCCTCACTGCACAGCTGGAAATAGCAAAGCACAACTGTAATCTCAGCACAGGTGATGATTAGGATTACGAGCACGAGGAGAAGGAACCCAAAAATGTAATAGAACTGATGCAACCAGATTGATGTTAGAATGAAAAACAGCTCGATAAATACTGCCCCAAATGGGAGTATGCCTCCAATTAGGATAGAGAAAACCGGGTTCATGTACCAGGCCTGCTCAGGAATTTGCCTTGGAATCTTGTTGGTTTTCACTGGATCCTCAATAGCTGGCTTCCTAAACCCTACATAACTACCTACAAAAACAAGAGGAACCGAAATGCCAAACCACAAGAACACTAATGCAAACATGGTTCCAAATGGCACAGCCCCTGATGATTTCTCGCCCCAAATTAGAGCATTCAATACGAAGAAAATGGCAAAGACAATTCCAGGGAAGGTGAAAGCGGTTCGAAGAGTTATTTTCTTCCACTCTGTTCCTTTGAACATCTTGTAAAGACGAGCTGCAGCATATCCAGCAAACAGGCCCATAAATGCCCAGAGAAGAAGCATAGCTGTCATCAACCCTCCTCGGTTAGACGGAGATAAGAATCCAAGTGCAGCAAAGATCATGGTAACTAGTATCATCCCAAAGAACTGAACACCAGTCCCAACATAAACACAGAGTAGATCAGAGTTTGTTGGAGGCCTGAAAACATCTCCATGAACTAATTTCCATCCAGTTTCTTCTTGAGCTTCTTCCTGAGTTTCTAACTGGTTGTACTTAGAGATGTCACGGTAGAGGGTACGCAGCATAATCATGGCCACCATACCCGAGAGGAAAAGAACAATCATCAAAGAATTTACAATTGAGAACCAATGAATTTGATCATCAGCCATCAAAAGATAAGTATCCCATCTAGATGCCCATTTGACTTCGCTCTCCTGCAAGGCAAGGAGAAAGGCACAATGACATACAACCATAAAGCCAGATTTCCATCATAATTATAGACACGGTCTGTTGCAAAACATTACCTTAAAGTCAACATCGTAAGTGAAGATTATCTCCTCCTTATCTTCAACCTCCTGAGGAGAATCAGAGCTGGTTATAGTGCGTTTTGCATGAGGATCACAGGTTGTTAACCGTTTTTTTCCATCCCATTTACCCTCATATTCATGCTTAGCACTGGATGCACAAAGGAAATCCAACATCAACAACAGGCTCAAATTACTGATGAAGCACAAAATTGAACATTCTACATAATATTACCTGAATGGTTTGACTTCAAATCCCACAATTCTGGCAGCATTGGTCTCTTCGTCTTTATGAAACTTCACAGTAAATGTCAGATGGTTGTAGATAAAATACTTCTCCTCCTTACTCTAAGCAAACAATTTAGAAGGAAGAAAAGGCGTCAAGAAGTTCCTTAAAGAAAAGAGATTAGCAACTGCTAAAGCAAATCAAGTTAATACTTACTTCACCAAAGTGTGATTTCAGACCAACAGGCACACCATGTTGATACACCAAGGAATCGATATCAGGTCTTTTATAAGGCACAACTAGAGGGAGATTATCTAAAATCCTGTTAAAAACAATAAAGTAGGAATTAGTCATGTACGACAATAATATTAGAATACATCAGATTCCTCAAACAGGTGGCTTACATGTTCACCCGGTATTCGTCATCTATCTTCTCCTTGAATTCCTTTGCAAGTTTGGCATCAAGGGTGATATGGCAAACAACATTGCACATTTGCGGTTCTCGCATTTTGAACTGACACAATAAACTTCAGTTAGAGGCTTAATTTTTATGCAGCATAAAAGGTTTATCATCTATTGTCTGAAAATTGACCCAAAGGAATAAGAGGATGAATTGTGTTAGTTGACCAAGGTACAACAGAAATGAAAAATTGAAGAGAAGGCCATTAGAAAGACTGACCACATAGGGAGAGTTCTCAATACGATCACCACGAAGAACTTCCCCAAGATTCTCTGCGCTGTCAACAATTTTTTCTGGCTTACAGTAAGGAAGGGAATAGTAGGAGTAAGGAAGTTGAGTTCTAGTAGAGGTCAGTTTGTTTACTTTCACCTTCAGAAGATCGCCCTGCATAAAAACAACAACAAAACATGCAGTCCACGTTACAACTGAAATGAAGAAGAAAAGTAAAAGCATTACACACATGCATATTTACTGCATAAAAGTCTGTTGTTCAACTAGGTACTGAGGTCTTTATTGGGGTACTTGAAGGTTTCCAGTGAATATTTTTAAAATGGATTTTGCCATTTTTACATCATTTTTTAACATCTTTGTTGACAGATTGTGTATTGGAAAAATCCCATTGGCAGGAAAAAAAAAGCTTTTTGTTTAACTGTCCAATCAATAAAGGTGTATACTGAGCATGATTGTTTTAAAATAGACAAGCAGATCAGGCTTGTAATCCAGAAAAACACGCGTTGACTTGCTATATTTACACATACATTAACAGTGCGATATAATTCCTTTTCACATTTCTTGCCATTGAATAGTGCAGATTCAATTCTTATACATTCAATTTGACTCTCTCTATGTTTTTTTTTTTTTTCCTAAACAATGAGCCGAGAAAATCAAATCCATGACAATCCAGAGAGCAAGATTCTACTAAAAAATCACGTGAGCCATCATCTTGCAAATTTTTTATTCATAAAACACGGGGATTGAAACATAATATCAACGATTTTCTTTCTGGAGACCCAGACTGCCTGTACATTTAATTTCATGTTTTTGTTCCATTTATAGCATCAGTCTGGAGAAAATCTTTATGTTTCACTATTACGTTATCACAAAGATCCAATTCCATTAAATTGTTGTCTAATTACTCCAAATATCATGTCCACAAGTTTGAAGGGTGCTAGAAGACCTAGTTGACGTGTTATTAGAAGGTAATTTGAATTCCAAGTGTCATTTTTGTTTTCAATTTTGTCCCTTCATTTTTGCTTAGTTCAGTGCTCAATACTAGAGCTTGAACATACAACTCAAACAGGAAGTTCATGTCTAAATCTAAATAATCAAAGTGCGCATCACTTCTAGTGTTTGTTCAACAACTAACATGAAAGCTAAGCCGAGAACTTTATCACCCCCTGTTATAACAGAAATCTTATAATGACATTGAACAAAATGGATGGCCATAGTTAAATATTTCACAATCAAATTCGCTCCAGCAAATAAAAAAAAGGAAAATATTTAAAAATTTCAAGGAATTTGTTAACATTAGAAACCCCGATATTTTGTTTTCCTAGTTAGTCAATGCAATATCATGCTACTTGCTGCTCTTATCCAATTGATTCTCGAGTAAATTACCACTTGATCTTGAGCAAATAGGTAAGACATCTTTGTGCATGTTTGGTGGGCTTATGAGATGCTTAACCATGCTGATTATCGTGAAATAGCAATTAATAGGCTAAAAAATAATTTTGTTTCCTATGTGCTTTCTTCTGCACAAAATAAGGCCCGAGGTTCAAAAAATTGATTGCAATAATAGAACTTGAACTGGTGCAAAATAGTTTCCTATTTTATAATGTACACAAGAAAGGTGTAACTTTCCATTTTTTCGCAGATTTGAGAGAGCAATATAGAGACGCGTATATACAAACATGAAACACCCAGAAACACAAAATTAAATCCAAACCCACAAATTACCAACAAAAAAAAGTCAACATCTTCAAATATAATCAGCAGTGAACCTCATAGCAACAATAAACACAAAAAATTTATAAGATTGACCTTCACAAAATCCTGAGGAGCGACCCCGGGAAGGTAGAAAGAATGAACAGAGGTGATGAACAAAAAGAGCATAACGCATAAAAGCCATCGCTGAATAGCCGGAGGCCTTTCTCCTAGGACCTCCATTTTCTCCCAGGAACTCGCCCACAAGATCTAGATCCAGAAATTCTAACACGGAATTAATAAATATCTCTATATGTGTGCTTGATATATACTATCATATATATTTGTGTGCGGAGATTTAGAAACACGGGAAGAACGAGGACGAAACTGCAAGCAAAGTATGTAGCCAACTGGAGAGGGAAGCATTATAGTGAGGTGGAAATGTTATATTTCTTCTTCAGCTTGGTTTCAACGGTGGTGATTTGTTCTACCCAAATCTAATGGGGGCGATTGTCAATATAATCGTCTAATTACATTGACGAGGCCATGGTTGGTTTGACTAAAATTAATTTTTTGGAAAATTTTGATAAAATGTGTGAAAGAAAAGTTGATAAAAATTACGAATTTCATAAAATGTATAATTGAAAATGAGTGCGAAAATAAAATAAGTTTTAAAAAAATTGGAACCAAACAAGGATTAAATCTTTTAGTAGGTACAATGATGTTTTATATAAAGTAGCAAATTTGAGTCGAGTAATTGGACAGTATTTGTGCATCCACTAAAATGTATGATTAAAATGAACTTCGATAATTTATAAATAATTAATAAATACAAGCTCTCTTTGGCTTCGTATTTTCACCGCCTTACGCAACATTCCTCGACGAAAAAACCCAAGATGTTTAGCATGGTGACCAAACACAACAATACAGTGAGAGTCGAAAACCAAACGATATATGAAGGAACACATCCTGGTTGCGCGGTGGAGGGTGGTTTCAATCTTGAGCGGGTGGCTCGATCAATCTCACAGCACGAGGAAGCATAAATTCAGCAAATATAGGATAGCGAGACGAATTAGGACAAAGTCCATCAACGTTGTCATTCACGACCTCACATGATACAGGTATCAGTGATCTACCTCTGAAAAGAATCCGGTCGACATGCAAATCCTGCGTTTGGCGATCCCAGCAGAGGCAAAGTGCTCTCTATATCAACTTCAGAAATTCAAGAGTCCCCTGCTTGTCACCTGACGCAAACCATGTATACAATGTTGTTTAGAGTTCAGCAGATTCCCATTTGGAGTAGTGTTGGGAGAAATCGTCACCTTTAAATCCATGATAAGTGCAAATTAGAGAGATGTTTTTCCTCACCCGAGCATTCGACCATGTATCCTTCGTATCACCTGCAACGCCGTGTTCTCTGTAATAGAAGTAATGAAAAAGAAGTAAGCGGCTATCCACAAGAAGACAAACACAGCAAAGGTCACACTAATGTGACGGAATCTCAGGAAAAAGGTTGCAGCATTCTGAAAAGGCAAAGGGTTGCATAGTAGTTCTTGTTTATATCAATTTCGTACCTGCTCCATTTCTTCAGCAATTATTTTAAAGTTTCGTCTTCTTTACTAATAATGTCTACATTTGTAAGGCTTAATTACAAGTCGCCACTATTTGCAACTGACAAACTTTACTTAGGAATAAATGAAAAATATAATCCCAGCTGGTCTAGTTTCGGGACAGTCATCACCCACTGTAAATCTAGGATTAAGATCATGGCGGTTTTGTCGTAAGAGCTCTGTGAGTTCAGGTCTGAACTGAACTGGCCCGTTTCTAATATTCTCAAGTGAAGCCTCAATAGAACCAGAATGACTTGATTCATATGAACATAAGTGCAATTGATCAAGTTGAGCTATTAGCAACTTAAGTTGTTGTGAATTTAGCGCAAGATAATAGCAAGATGAAATAACAAACACAAAACAAGAATACCAAAATTTTACGTGGAAACAATGGGAAAAAGCATGGGCAGATGAGGACTATTTCTCTATGAATCAATAATAAATGTGTTACAATTAAGATCTCAATACTCCCAATCAAGATCTAAAACTTTCAAGATATTGTATGAATGTTGTTTTTCCATACAAGGTGTGGCTATTTATTTATAAGTCCTAAAAACCGAATTTTGGATGAATTAGAGGAGAGAAAATGCGTCAAAACGTGAAACGGGTTTGAGCTGAATAAATGCGCAGCTCGAGCGCCAACCTGACTGTAAGCAGCTCGCCGCTTGAGCTATAACCTCGCGCTAAGTAGTAGTGCAAGCGCTTCATCGCTACACATAAGGAATTGGGGCGTTGTCTTTCGAGATAAAATTGCTTCCAAAGCTTCCGATGGTGCCTAGGTGCCGTGATCATGGCGTTGGGCTCCCGACTTCGATTCCAAGAATCCTAAAACCATCTTATAACTTATCCAAAGTCATTTTTCAACTGAAACTCCAAACCCAATATAATTTTGATCCCTCCAAGATCACTTCAATCAAAACTCGCCGACGAGGGTGTGCCAGTAATCTCCTGTAATTGATGATAATTATATATGAATCACCAACATATATTGATTTCAATCAAACCATTAACGATCACCAACATATTACTACAATATAACCATTTTTAATCGCTGACGAATGTGTGTCGATAATCTACTGTAGTTGATGACAATTACATATGAATCACCAACATATATTGATTTCAATCAAACCATTAACGATCATTAGCATATTTTCTCTAAGATCATTTGCTCTATTATTATTATTATTATTTTGAAAAAGCCCTTATGTTAATTTTGCCTATGGTCTTGGAATTGTTTGAGTCGTCTAACTCATCATGTAACATTCACAAGTTAATTTTATAAAAGCTCATTGTTACTTTCCAATTGATTTGTTGCCCTAAAACTTGCAATTAGGGAAACTTTAACGAGGGTCGCGTGATCGTTTTATGAAGATTGAGACAGATTTCATAATTGTGTATTGTGTACAATAACAAAAAATCAGGAATTAGCTTTCTATTAGATTAATAAATTAGGGACCAGTAACACAATTTTCCCAATATGATACTATACCACTCAAATATTAAATTTTTTATTGGAAATTCTTTCCCCATAGCATGTTTGGTTGGCATGTTTCTTTTTGTGTCGCCCGTGTTTATTTTATTCAACATCCTTTTTTTGTTCCTTGTTGTCCTTTCTACAACAAATGTCAATTATTTATTAGTTTGTTGAGAAGAAAGCTTTTCGTAAAATTTTTAACTGAACGTCAAAGTTTAATTTCTTCAAAATTGATCATCAAACATTGAAGAACAATCTGTATTCATTTATTCGGGAAACGAAAAAGTTCGAAATTTCGTGCATTACATTCTACATTCTGAAACATGGGAAATTTTCATTTTTCCAGGAACAAGAACATATGACGAAAAGGTCGAATATGAAAGAGAACTTCATACTCCAAAGGGACAGTAACAAGAGTTCACAAAACCAGGACACAACAATGACCTTGTTTTCTTTTGTAACCGTCTTTATTAGCAAAACTCGAAAAACCCCAATATCGAACAACATGAATAAGAATTTTCCCATTTTTCCTTGACTCCTTCAGATATAAGGTATATGTCCTCCGAGCAGCCACCCAACACCCAAACTAAGAAGAATTCTTAAGAACCCATGTAACCAGTGTCAAAATACCAAAACCGGTTGCAGTTTTCTTCTTATTATTGCGAACAGGGCCAGACATGTCAATGTGCATCCACTGGACCTTCTCATCAACAAACTGCATATATACATCTATAAGTCAGATGCCTTTACTGAGACAGACTAGGAAACAATTTATAGTCTATACATCTATAAGTCAGATGCCTTTACTGAGACAGACTAGGAAACAATTTATAGTCTCCAATACATGCTTTTGTTTCTCATTTTTATAAGTCGGAGTTCATTTGTGTTTAACTNCCCCCCCCCCCCCCCCCCCCACAACCCAAAGCATTGTAAGTTATACAGTAAGAGAACTTTTAGAACATCTTTGGCACACAGTACAGTCGACAAGATTTAAATTTTTTTTCTTCCTCTATGGTGTCTAGAATTGTATAGTCTACCGTACCAAACAAGTCAGAAGGAATACAGCTTTTATAGAGGCTGGAACAAGGATAACTTTGGAATATAACGCATATGAATCTAATAATTTTTTCTAAGAAATTCAGGAGAATGATGAAATAAAAAAATCTGTTTTCATGAATTGCAGAAGCTCATTAGTGATGAAATATGTAGCAAATGTCATTAGTAGTAAACTAAGGGAAGCGAAAAATGTAGTTCAAGGAAAGAAGGGAAGAGATTCTACGCAATCATATCTAGGGCTTTAGAACGAACTCAAATGTACAATGATCCATAAAAAAAATCCCTTATTCTCACGAATATATCCAGAGGAGATGGTGGGGGCCGATTCTTTCACCATTTGGAGTGCTAGTTTGCCTACTAAATTAACACCTTTCTCAATTCAAATTTGATACAAATGCCTCCAAGTGAGCGACAGTCGCTGCGACACTGAAGCAACCTATGCCCAGACAGAGACACAAACTAAACTCTTACAACGACCCATGTATCTCCAATTTGTGAATTTAGCCAATACAAAGCTGCATGGTAGCACCTAAATTTTCCATATTCAAATAGGTGATTTCCTCTGACAAAAGGAACATTTTATTTTTAATTTTTTCCAATAGAAAAAGAAGCCCCGTCAGTCAAACATTGAAGCCCCATTCCAACAAATTGGCAATTTTCTAGATTCGAAATCAATCTACTTGCTATAAGAACTGTTCCAAACTACAAATTAGGCCAATAGTATAACAACTAAGCCACACTTTTCAAAATGGTTAAGTAGAAAGCTAATTCAGTAGACAGCAAAAGCATAAAAGGTAAAACAAGCTCAATATTGTCAAAATGCTGCTTCAACAAGAAAGGAAGGGTTGGTGTTGTGGGGGAGGACGGGTATACCTGCTTCAAGAAAAGAGCTGCAGTGATGGAACCACCTTGGCGACTACCGGTGTTCACCATATCAGCCACTCCAGATTTCATGAACTCCCAATAACTTTCTTCCAGGGGCATTCTCCAAAGTTTTTCCCCGCTTACCTCTGAGGCTGCAAGTACCTCATTTGCCAGGTCGTCACTGGGTGTAAAAACACCTGATTTCGTATATCAAGAATAAATCAGTGCAAGGATCTTCACAAGGAATCTCCATGTTCAGAACATTTTGAGAAATTTAAATTATGAAAAAAACCAAAAACTATTGGGCCGGAGGTGGTTCTCAAATAATATAGGACAAAACAAAGATTTATATATCGCATACCAGCAATAGAGGGTCCAAGAGCAACAACACAAGCCCTAGTTAATGTGGCCAAATCAATGATCTGCAAAAGATTAAAAGGACATTACATATCAAAATAGGAAGTGAACCCTGAAAAGGTCACCCGACTTATTCCAAAAAAGTGAACAATTGATAGGTTTTTAATTTGCGTATCATCTATCTCGTGCCTTTTAGGTTCTCATTCCCGATATTGAAATACATGGACAAATGATAAAAGAATAAAACCCATAAAAGTGGTGCTTTCCAAAAATAGAGATGTAAAGAACAGGCACTAAGGGTACCTTCTCTAGTCCTTGATTGCAAGCATATACCAAAGCATCTGCAAGTGTAAGTCTTCCTTCAGCATCAGTATTGTTTACCTAAAGAATGATCAATGCAAAAAATTGGGAATAGTAACTTAACACGTGAGATAAACTCATCAATATAAAAGAAGGCACGTTGAGATAGACCAAGCTTTTGAAAGTGGGTGATTAAGTATATCGTGAACTTAAGTGGGTCCCATAAATTTAAGGTCGTCATTCGAAAATAAGAGAAAAGCTTCCTTCAAATGAAAGGTGAGAACGTAATTGGACAACCTTCAGAGGAAACCGCCACAGTTATTCTGGGATGGAGGGATAGTGAAACATATTTGAAGATAAAAGTTTTCTTTTAAACTTGTGTCTGAGAAAGGTCACATGGGCATCCAGTGTCATGCCAATTGACATTATTAAAACAAGATAACCAAAGAGCCAAAGAACCATATGGAACGCTAAACATGTTTGAAAAAAGAAAGTAAAAGATACATTTAGCCTCTAAACATGTTTGAATAACCTACTCTTTCTTACACATAAATTAAAAAAGTAACCTCTCTGGAAGTAACTCTTACCCTCAGTGACAAAGAAATACTTATTTCCAACTTACACCAATGAAAAGAATTATTTAGTTTGAAAATTTATTCATTCAGTAAACTTTTTAAGCATAGCCAAGTGTGCTCTAAATGATCAGAGTAAAAACCAAGCCACGTACAAAACTAAAGCAAATTGCTGTCCGGTATGTCATTCTGTAGTTAATTATAGTTACATCGCAAACTATTATAGAAGACAGGTTATAACAGAACTTAACAATGCAATCTGGAAAACTAATAGTAGCATAATAAGCTCAGGTTGAATCCTCAGTATGTTTTAAATACAGGTGCCAGCACAAAATTCATTAAATTTTCAAACTTGAGATATCCAAACAAAAGAGAAATGTTATTTCTAAAATATTTTTTATTGATAAAATGTGGTAAAAATATTCTTTGTGCCACAGTGTTATCATGCATAATGAACTCATTCTTAAGTATTTGAACACCAAATGAAGATGTATAACATCTTCTCCAGATATTTAAAAGATTTATTGAACACACATGCCAACACTTGTGTCACTAAAAAGAATCATTTATGAGCAATTCAATATGTTCACAATAACGAATTTAAGTGCAAGGACAATTATAAATGGAGTAAAGAGATCCTAAATTTCTATATTTTGTACTCGGTGAAATTTTCATGAAGAGGAGGAATTGTAAATGAGAAACACAGCAGAAAAGGAAAGGGACGTGCTTTAAATAAGATGTAAGAGCATAGAAATTTATATGCAAAGTAGACATTGTCTGGGTAACATGTAAGAGCTCCTGCCGGATGACAATGTGGCGCGCAACAATATGAAACAGAATGTTAGAACTTCAATTCTATCTGCATAATGAAACCAAATCCAGATTCATTCTGTAGATAGGTCTAATTTCAGTTGTGAGGATAAAAGAACTGTTTGCCAAAAGCATACTGAGGAGAAAGATTTCGTGATTTTTTTTTATTTTTGGGATCAACAGAAAGAATGTTCGAAAGAAAATATGCAGACATTCCAAACCTGCATATCAAAATCAAATCCAGACTCAATACAGATACATCTTATACGAGTTGTAAGAATAAAAATTGTGTAAAAGAATAAATTGAAAAGAAAGATTATGCATTAAGGTTTAACCTTTGCAATGAGAGCATGAACGTTTAAAATTAAATATTCAAAAAATTAACAGTGAATTAAAGAGACAGGATTATCCTATAGAAAAATGAAGAAATTACCTCAATTGTCTTTCCATTTGATGCTGTAACAATATCTCCGGGCCTCATGCCTGTTCCACTTATCATATTCTCACAAGCTGCAACAATGAAATGAACCTGCATAAATATCAATTTGTTATCAGGTTTTCAATCAATCTCTAAATGATTAAACTGAAATGTGATTTATAAATATTTTCAATTAACATAAAAGATAATAAGGAGACTGTAATCATGAAAATGAATCAAGTCCACGAAACAGCACGATGTCCTTGAAACAGTAACAAGGAAAAGAAATGAGTCACCTCTACTCCAGTTGGCTTGATTTGACCAAGAGCTTTTGCTGCACCCAATACGGCTGCTGAACCTCCCATGTCAAATTTCATGTGCTCAATGGAACAACCTGGTCCTGTCTTGATATTATAGCCACCACTGAAACGTCAAGAAGAAAATTGAAGATTTTGCACTGCTGAAAAGCCCATGAAACACGGCGACAATATCCCATTTCAACCATATTTCTAGACAGCGTCTCTTTAAAATGTAAGTAAATTTTGGAATACATATTTATTCACCTGTCAAACGTCAACCCCTTTCCAACTAAGGCCAGCTTGGTCTTGACTTCTCCACCTGGAGGCCTGTAACATAAGTGTATGAAATGTGGAGGATTAGCAGATGCTGCCGCAACACCAAGATAAGAACCCATTTTTAATTCTTTGCACTGCTCTACATCCAAGATTGTTGCAGAAAGAACATCACTGTGCTCAGAAGCAATCCTTTTGGCCTCTTCTGCTAGTACTCCTGACATATCCAGTAACCAAGATATGAAGAAATATACAATTTAAAAGGTCACAGAAAATGAGATTCCCACCTTAATTACACGAGAATATTTCCAAAATAATCACTCTTTGATAGGTAATGGCAAAGTAATAGCAAACAGAAATAGGATTACCAACCAGGTGTGAGTACATTAGCAGGTGCATTTACTAGCTCTTTTCCAAAAATTATCCCAGAACAAACATCTTCGGCATTCTTGAGTTTTTTTTCTATCTCAGGTCCAGTGCCAAGACCAAGAATATCCACGAATTTGAGAGTCCCTCTTTTTGACTCTGACTTGAATCTATTGTCTTCATAAGTCCCCAATACAGATCCTTTGGCATTTGGAACATTCCCCCAAATTTAATTCCATGAATTAGCAACAAACTAACATTGCAGGTCAAATGAGAAGGAATTGAGAAAAAGTACCAGTGGCTATTGCTGAAGCAACGTTTAGCTTTGATTCAGTAGAGAGCTCTGCGGAAGAAGCAAGTATGATTGCAACATTACTTGCCTGAGCAGACTTAGCTGCTGCAGCAACTGCCTCACCAAGACTGTGATATGCAGTAGTTGCTGATGTAGCTGATCCAAGGCCAATTAAACATACCTTTTTCAAGTTAAGATTGGGAAGCCTAAGAACTGTTGATCGTCCAGCCTTTCCAGTGAAATCCTCCTCTGATGATGCTTCAGACAACAAACCTCCTAATTGTGAATCTAGTTTTTGCAGGATTAAATTCTTGAAATTTGAATTCTCATCTTTGATCATGTCCACCTCAGTTGCGCCTACTGCAAGTATGTCTCCTTTCCATTCTAACAAATCAATCTCTTTTGCCGCAATTGAGATCTTCAATCATTCAATAATACATGTCAAATTTAGTGATGCTGCAATTATTCCCCGAAATATTTTTAACAAAGAAAGCTGTACTAAGACATACAAACACATACCTATACATAAGTTTATGTAAGCACATGTATGCAAATGCATATATATAACAGAAACTGACATGCACCTTTCACTTGGTGAATGATGCGTACAAACGGAAACAGTTCATTCTTAGAAATGTGCAAAGGGATTGAAACGCGGAACATATAAGACATAGATACCTCCAAGAAAAATGATAATAATTTCTAAAGAACAGCCTGGCTGAAATATTCAACTTCTTGCGAATGTGTTGGGAAATATGTAAGAAAATCTAGAAAAACTAATGAACTCCAAGGTACGAAAATCGTTATCTTTTAAGAGATGTTTCTCCTCTATCCAACAAAGTCAAGACTGGGGAATGATAGAAAATCTCTCTCAGGATACAATGGAGTAAATGGAGGCAACCATTTGAATATGTGTGTCCCTTGAAATAAATGAACGCATCCGTTGGAAGAAACATACCCGTTGCGTAGCGGCAAAACTAGTCGGGGCGGCAAAACATTCACAAAACAAAAAATGAACATGCAAAATGATGAAAAAATATCTAACAGAATGTATCTCAAAAAAATTGGTGAAACATTAAAAATAATTACTCCTCCTCAGCAAATCCCCACAATCTTGATGGACATTTAGGAACCCAATGATATAAACATCACACACAAGCTTCAATTCAAATAAATCAATCAAGATTCAAAAACTCGGGACTGCATTTATGTGAACAAAGATGAACCCATAAATCATAGTCGGTTCACTACAGGAAGCCTTTGATCTTTCATAAATCCAGCTTGTAATGAACTCTCACGATAATCTTAATCTTAAGCAAAACAAATACTATCAAAGCAATATATATGAAAAGTATTCAGTTACACGGTTTCTTGACAGTAAAAGAATACATTTGGGTGGTCGATTTGGTTTGGTCGTGTGAGGCCAAGAGTGGCCTTGGCAATTGAGTGAGCCATCCGCTTTACCCTTCAGGAAGAGAAGTGTGAGACTGCAGAAGATAAATCCCAGATGGGGCCAAACGGCAAACTCCTGAAAATCTAGGGGCAAGAGCTATAGTAACAAGAAGAAGTTGAAGCTCGTAGACCTCTAATGGCAGCAATATGTAACGTGTAACTGTTGTCTGTATTTATAGATGCAAATACTCGTGGAAGCAGTTAAAAAAGTGTTCGTCAGGGTGAGGTGTAATGGACCGACCCTATAATTAATTATTAACGAAAGGAAAAAAAAGTTACGTCCTGTTTGACAATCATAATTTTTTTTTTTTTTTAATGTATGTACTTATTTTTAACCATACATTTACACGATAAAATATTTTGCATGTCGAGCCTAAAATAACGATATTTGATACTTCTTTTGACAAAATATATCCTAAATTGTTGTATTTTATATTATATAGATAAAATTTAATGATTGAACGAAAAATTGAAAGAAATAAGCGAAAATTGGTGAAAATTGGCGAAATCCAAAGTTTGATGACCAAATTGGTGCTAAACCGGAAGAAATGTCACTTCATGGTGCATGAAGGAGTAGTACTGAAACACAAAATTTTAGCAAATAGTATCGAGGTAGATAAATTAAAGATTCAAGTGATAGAAAAACTACATCCACCAACTTCAGTTAAAGGAGTACGTAGTTTCCTCGGCCATGTAAAGTTTTGCATGAGGTTTATCAAGAATTTCTCCAAAATCACCAAACCACTTTGCAGCTTACTTGAAAATGATACACCATTTAACTTTTTTTGACGAGTGTTTGACATACTTTAACACTCTAAAAGAAAAGTTAATTTCAACACCAGTTATAGCCGTACCAGACTAGGGACCGCCATTTAAGTCGATGTGCGACGCTAGAGACTATGCAATAGGGTCAGTACTTGGTTAAAGAAAAGATAAAATTCCCCATGTTATCTACTACGCGAGCAAGACTTTGATAGAGGTACATCTGAATTATTCAACCAAGGAAAAGGAGCTGCTAGCCATTGTGTTTGCCTCCGATAAGTTCAAATCATATCTCATGGGACATAAGGTAATTGTCTACGCATATTATACATTTCTCCTTCAAGAGTTTGACTTAGAGATTCGAGACAAGAAATGCAGTGAAAATGTGATAGCACACCACCTTTCGAGGCTTGAATAGGCAGAACAAAGGGATGAGAGTGATATAAAGGATTATTTCCCATATGAGAGTATATTTGCAATTGAATGTGGGTCATGGTATGAAAACATAATGATTACTTGCGCGTGTATTTGTTTTCACCTGAGATAACACGTCACCTAAGGAAAAAGTTCTTTTCAGAGTTGAAATACCATTATTGGGAGGATCCCATAGGGGTACTTATCAAATCTTTCAAAGATGTGTGCCAAATGAGGAGATTCCTCAGATTCTGGAGTGTTGTCACTCTTCAGCTTATATGGGGCATTTTGGGTCTTCGAAGAGAGCAGCAAAAGTTCTACAATTAGAATTCTATTGGCCCTCACTGTTTAAGGATGCTCATGAATATATGAATACTATGATCAATGCCAATGTACATGGACTATCTCCAAAAAGCATGAGATACCTTTGAATTCAATTCTAGAAGTGAAACTTTTCAATGTTTGGGGATAGATTTTATGGGACCATTCACATCCTCTTACAACAATTAATACATGTTGGTCGTAGATGACTATGTATCGAAATGGGTAGAAGCAGTAGCAACACCAACTAATGATGCTCAATTGGTTGTTAATTTTTTGGAGAAAAACATATTCTCGCTCTTTGGCACCCCTCGAACCATTATTAGTGATGTGAGTAAACACTTGTGCAACAAGCTTTTGGAGTCAGTTTTGGAAAAATATAGAGAAAAACATCGGGTTGCTACACTTTATCATCTCCAAACAAGTGGTCAGGTAGAAGTGTCAAATAAAGAGCTGAAGAAAATATTGGAGATGACAGTGAATGGCTCGAGAACTGATTGGTCAAGGAAGCTTGATGATGCACTGTGAGCATACTATACTAAGTAGCTTACAAAACACTGATAGGCATGTCGCCATATTGGCTTGTGTTTGGGAAAGCTTGTCACCTTCCAGTGGAGTTGGAACATTAAGTATATTGTACAGTAAAGCAGCTGAACATGGACATGATAGAAGCTAGAGAAAAAAGGATGCTACGACTGAATGAATTAGATGAATTCTGGATTGATGCTTGAGAATGCAAAACTTTATAAAGAGAGCACAAAGAGACTACGTGATAAATACATCCAGAAGCGTGAGTTCACTCCAAGTCAGAAAGTACTCTTGTTCAATTCTAGGTTGAAACTTTTTCCTGGAAAACTGCACTCTAGATGGTCTGAACCATTCACAGTTGTTCAAGTCTTTCCACATAGAGTAATTAAGGTGACTCATGAGATAAAGGGCATTTTCAAGGTAAATTGATAGCGTTTGAAAGCATATTGAGGTGACGATTTTGATAAAGAGAAGTCGTTCGCCTAACTCCACACCCTGAAATAATCAAGTTGTCAAGTCTAACTAAAGACTATAAATTAAGTGTTTATTGGGAGATAACTCAATTTTCTAATACTTTTATTTATTTTGCTTTCCGTATTGCATTGCATGTAGTGTTATTCTTAATTTATAAGTTGCATTAGTTATAGGCACGTTTCAATTCAGCTTGGGGTTCATCTTCATCGTTGAAACTTAACCTAGTTAAAGGAAAACATTAATTGAGTCAAAAAGAATTTTCTTTTTATTCTTTTGATTGTTTTCTTCCCCTTTTGATAGGTATCATGGATATTGACATCGAAAGGAGCTCAGCAAAGTACAAGTTGCGTTAAATTGACAAATAGCTCCTTATACATTCAACCGAAAAATTTGGGGAGTGCCTTCTTCCATTTTTCTCCCACTTATATTCTTACTTATACTTATGACATTGAGGATAATGTTGATTTTTAAGTTTGGGGGTAGAGAAAAACTTTAAGTTTTTATTTGAGTTTTTACTTTTCGTATGTTAGTTTTTTGTTATTGCTTTAGTATATAATAGAAAAAATTAAAAAAACAATAAAAAGTTGAAAATTTTCAAAAAATATTTTCTTATTTTAAGTTGTGTGCTTGTGTGGGTTAGATAGTTTGACCGACAATGATAATTAAATTTGAGATTTGATGTTGATTTATGAATTGTGGATAGGTTACGTGCTTAAATTGATTGATGCTTAGCCTTGCAGGACTTGAACTTATATGCACAATAGAATTGAGTTTTACATCATGATGCAATAAGTTGATTCATATGTTGGATAGGTTGATAGATTGAATATAAATCTATACCTAAACCTATCCTAAATTAATGACTCTTAGACCAAATTTAGAATAGTTTGGGGGTGATTTACCGTTGTAGGAAGATACAGATGTGAATGGGGATTCCTTGTGTGAAAGAGTTATGTGCATATTGTATTAGATTAATGGATTAAAATTGGATGAAAGTCTTAAGTTGAAAATCGATTTGCTTAGATATGTGTTTGATAAGGGACATTGCGCTAATTAAAGTATAAATTTTTGAAATTTGAAATTCTTTTTGAAGCATTTTCGACTCGGGTTATTAAGTCTGTAAGGGTGTTTAAAACTTGGTGTTCTAAAATCATCTAATTTGGGAGTCATCGGCCTAATGTTACACGGGTCATCTAGAAAGTAAAATGAGAGAATGTAAAAAAAAAAAAATAGAAAATTTGAAAAAAGTAGGTGTATGTAACAAAAGATACACCAAATGCTCTAGTTAAATCTCAAACACTTATTTGAGAAATCTGGATTTTTGATGAGAGATTATTAGTCCAATATAGTCCTAGAGGTCAAAGCAATCAAGAAATTGGAGAATCCTTATTTATTGATGTGTTGACTTGCAACTAGTGACGTTCATTTGAACTATAGAGTGTGAGGATAATAACGAAAAATTTAACATTAGATTGCACGCTGAAAAAAGAGTGAAAATAATAAGTTCGTAGTGTGTGAATCATACGAGAAATGAAATGATATATTTGACCATAGATGGTCGAGAATTGAAGCAACTTATAAATTCATGATTGTCTACTCAGTTCTTCACACACACGTGTCAATTTTGCATTGGAAGAGTGGATATTGGTTTGGTATTGTGACTTTGAAACAATTTGTTGATTTCATATGGCGATTTCAAATCTTGAGGTAAAATTTAGATTGTCTAACAAAATATTTTTGTATGCTTGCATTCTTGTTGTTATTTAGGTTATATTTTTGTATGAGGGCAAACAAATGTATAAGTTTGTGATGTTTGATAAATGTATCTTATACACTTATTTGAGGTCTAAAATGTCGATATTTTGTAGTATTTTTGACAAAATATATCCTAAGTTGTTGTATTTTATGAATTGAAATAAAGAAACCAAAAATGGTGAAAATGGTGAAAATAGTAAGTCCAAAGTTTGATGACCAAATTACAAATATTTAATAATTGATTCGAACAACAAGACGATATTTTGAAGATTGTTATGAGACAATTTGATGGAATTATAACTCAAAAATGAATGAAATATGATTAAAATATTATCAAAATCAATTTCCAATCGCACAAGTTATATTCCAGATCGATTTTTGGCCTGAAATTGAGACCCATTTTTGGCATAGTAAACATCCGAATTGGAAAAGTTATATTTCTAGCAAATGTTTAGCCATTTGAGTTATATTTCCAACTCACTTTGAATCGTCTCAATTGGATATTGATAGAGAATGTTATGACCAAAATACTAACTGATTTGCAGAGACAAAAACATGCGCAAGCGAATACAACATTCCTTTTTTGATTGAAAATTAATTTGGACATGATTTTCAACCCAATTTTCAATTCCTACAAATATCTAACAAAAGAATACATATGAGAGATATCTCATATACATCTCATACTCCAATATTGATCAATTATTATTATCAAAAGAGGATAATTCATAATTTTTTTTTTTTAGATAGAGAATTGAAGGGAAAGTTGCAAAAATTCAACCAAGTGGATATTCAAACTTGATTTTTGGGCAAATGAGAGAATGAGCAAGTGGAAATTCATCAAGAAACCATTGAAAAGATTCAAGATTAATTTTCATTTTCTCAATTTATCAAAAATCCGGGTCGTGTCTTTTCACTTAAATATGCTGTCTTATAATTTCGATATGTTATGCTGGTTTTATACACTGTAAGGATGATATGAATTCTCGTTATAATATTTTTAGTTTTTAATTAATTATTTTAATTTTAATTTGATTTGATTTGTGGATGTTTATTATNTTTTAGTTTTTAATTAATTATTTTAATTTTAATTTGATTTGATTTGTGTATGTTTATTTTTTATTTTTTAATTATTATTTTCAATTATTTGATCATTAATTGAATTGTTAGTAGATTTTATTGTTATCAAGAAAGATAATAGGATTTAAGTATAATATAATAAATATTGTAAGATTCGATATATGATAGAGATATACATTTATATTTTATATGGTTTAAATAGGTGTTCTAATCTAACACTTATTAATGTATTTATCATGTTTCCATCTTTTATTGAGATATAGAAAAGTCATGTGAGGGGAAAAAATTAGATCGCTATTGAGGGAGACTTCAATTAAATTAGGAACATTGACCAACATGAATGATTTCAAATTGTCACTTTAATTGTTATACTAAAAATAGAATAACAATGAGGATTTGACATTTTAGCAATGCATCTCAAATATTTGAAAAACACATTTACTTATTTTCATTAGTTTAATTGATAATTTATGGATTAATATAGAAAAATCACAAAATTTGTTTGCTATTTAATTAAAGTTACAATTAATTTTAATTCGATCGAACATATAGTTCTCGTGTGTTCGACACTCTATTCATCATTATATTACTTGAATATGATCATGTGCACTTAAAGGTTTTTAAACGATTATTGCACATAAACCAAAAAATTTTCTCTACTTCTTAACTACGTATTCTCTAAAAAATCAATACTCAAAACTCCATTTTATCCAAATAATGATTGTCAACATGGGCTTAAAAGGAAATTTTGAGATCAAAAGTTATTTTTAAACTCATTTGATAAATTTTATAAAAATAATTATTTCAGTTAGAAGAATTCTTTAAGGAAACTACTTATTAATATGACTCTCTCTAAAAATTCTTTAGAAATTAGTTTTCAAAACATAAAGTAACTTTCTCATCAAACTTTTTTATAAGAAACAAAAATTCTACCAAACATATCCTAACATGTTTTGTATTCCAAATTGAAATGTACTGGGAAGGTAGTCTCTATGTGGACAGCAATTTGGTCCACCGACATAATGCATATGGCATATGATAATTAAGTTTTGTTCCTTTTCTAAAAATTAAAATATACGTATTGCCTTGAACTACTCTAATACAAAAGGAATTTTGAAGTTTCGCTCACTATAAACAGCACGAAGCCAGCATTTGCAAGATTAAAAATATTATCTGATTATAATTTTCAATATTCTACATGTTTTATCTAAATATTTATTGGTTATTCTATTTTAATATTTAAAGGGCAGTAGTTCTCTATTCAAAAATAATGGAAGCTGAGTCGGCACTGTTTGATGCTAGTATAATAATGTCTCAATTAGTGGTTTTTATTTCATTTAATAACCAGAGGTCACATATGACAAGATCCATCTCAAAGTGTCCCCATTCAACGTAGAAAACATGTCGCTAATGGTTGATGTATTGGACTAAATAAAACTTACACTCGTAAGTAAATAGGAAAATGATAGTGGTACATCAAGTGATACATCAAGGTGTCCATAATGGATACCTTGCAGCCATCTATTGGAGGGAGTGCCGAGGGAGTGCTAGTGGGACCGGCACTCCCTCCAATAGATGGCTGCAAGGTGTCCATTATGGACACCTTGATGTATCTCTTGATGTACATATAGAACAACCCAAGTAAATATGTTATGCCGACTAAGAAGTGCATTTTCATAGCTCATTTGGTAGGTTTAACACCCACATCCTACACCCTCTCTGCAATCGACACATATAGTTGCACATTGCATCGGCAAAGAAACCCATCCTTTGTCAAAGACGATATAAAATGAATTTAAGGACCTTTCTCTAAAAACTTAAAACTTTAAGGTGATGTTAACATGATATCATATCCACGCAGAGAGTTCAAATCTCGCAACCAACTATTTATGAAATTTTGCTCATAATCAACCTTCGATAAAAAGACACCTGATTCATTTGATCCAAACTAATGTACAAAATTAACCAAATCAGTTTAACACACTACCACAATAACCAACCTATGCCAAATTACCGATACTAAAGCTAAAATAAGTAGAAAATACAAGGAAAAAAAGAGCAAAGAATCAAATAAGATTATTTGAAGTTACATACTTCCATTAAGAGAGTAGCATCATAATAACTCTTAAAGTGGTGTCCACACCACTTTGAAGCGCACATTTGGTTTCAACTAGGCTTTATTTCAAATCCATGCTCACCGGGGTTTGATCAGATCGCACTGTTTTCTCCCGTCCAGATTCTAGGCCTAAACTTTCAATAGATTTCTTATTAGTTACGCTTCAGTTTCATTAATTTGCACATTGTTCAAGGAACCCGGAGATGCAGTAGCAACTAGAGGATCACTTGTTGGGCCACGAGTTTTCTTTGGAACTGGCATTTCATGATCATGTACTCCCGTGTATGATACTATTACAGCACTTGAACTATCTGTAGCCCTCTCAGTGTGCTTACGAACAGGACATCCAGCTGATGTACACCTGTAGTAGTTCCTGAAATTCACTCAACATTACTACATAAGATAGAGCTCGCAGTTGAAATAATTTGGATAATTTACTTCCAAAAATTTAAATAATAAAACAACACATTGTGCCTTCTCTAATAAACAGAACCTGCAATCTAGAGTCAACGAGTTAATAGTTATTTTACTATGGATCAAGGTTTGGAGGGATCATTCGAACGGCTAAAGGAAGAAGGTATTCCAGATATCAGAGAAGCTTATGTATTATTCACAAGTAAATAAACGAAAGTATACAAAGATTTCAACTGTGCTATTCAATGATGTGAGTATTATTTAGAAATTGCATGAACTAAAAAGAGACCGTATCATACTAGAGGAAGCTCTAATTTTTTTTTTTACTGTGGATCTCCATAAAAATTCATTGAATAGGGGAATCTCTCTAGAATACATGGATCAGAAGAATCAAGTTCATTTCGAAAAAGAAATCATGCTTCTTTTAGAGATGTGTATAGATCAAGAGCCAGCTTTTTTGGGGGGATGAGTCCCCTTCAAATTCTACAAGAAACATTCAGTGCCTTCTTGTCCTTTAATAATCTCTCTCCCTCACTTTAATCTTCTTTTTGCTTCAGGTCAATTTTCTACATTATACTGATATATATGCCATATGTACTGATACAAACTATAGAGTTAATCGAGGGCCGAAAAATGTTATCTGACTTTTAGTCATTTTTCATGTCTAGTAACCAGGTGATGTGTATATAACTAACAGATCTTGGTACCATTGCTGACCAGTCGTGCTCAAAAAGACTTGCTATCACTGATGATCTCATACGTACTTGAGTAGGTCTATGAATGCGTGTTTTTTTCTTTTCCTTTATTTTCTTGGGTGTGTGGCGGGTGGGGGGGGGGGTGCCGAGTGTAAAATGTAATTGTTTATGTTTACCCTCGTGCAAATCAGGTTCATAATAATTTCCAATTTGAAAAATCACTTTAAACTATGAAAAATTAGAAAAAGAAAGAATTAGCCCCCGTTTGAGCCGCATTAAAATTTTCATTTTCATTCTTCTACTCATTTATAACCACACATTCTTCCATAAAATAATATTTTCCATCACATCAATAACTTTTCCTTCTATTTCAACCACACATTCTCCATCAATCTACTATTCCAAAATACATTCTTCCAAAATAATGTGCCTCAAACACACCCTTATTATGCGATTTCGGGTTGACGTGCAGAAGGAACAGAGACAGAAACTATCAAATATGCAGACTATAATGAAGTTTCTCATAGTTCTCAAAAACTGGGCAGTAAAGGAAAAAAATAATGAAATAAATCTAATCAACGAGTTAGTCGCAATGTAATATAGACAACTGGGAATTCACCTTGGGTGATGGTTTCCTTTCACCATCTTCTGTCCATACTTGCGCCACCTGTAGCCATCTCCTGATATCCCCACATCACCAGCCTCCTCAACAACAGTTTTGGGTTTCTTTCCAGGTTTGGCGATGGTTACCATATCACCGGTTACACTTTTCTTCTGCCTAGCAATTCAAAGTGGTGAAATAGTATCAGATCTATTTGCTAGCAAGCTATCAGCTGGAAATGAAACATAGGTAACATAACTTGAAAGGCAATGGCTGTCACTTAATCAGCAACTTGCCTTTTTTTAAGTTCAATTTCATTAACGTGTTCTTCCTTAGTACTAATTTCCCCAGTCTCATCAGAATTAGTTGCATCCTGTCGCTTTGTCTCAGGTATCTGAGCCATCTCCATTGAAGGTTTTTCCAAAGAGGAATCATTAATAGCTCTTAGTGGACGAGCTTCATTGTCACTCTCATTGGCCGGCACGACCGATGACGCGTGCCTACTTTCCCTGGTGCAGTTTACCTTTTGAGGAGGATCATGATTGTGATGACTTCTATAAACAATCTCAATGACATTGCCAAACTGATCACAGCACTCAATCTTCTTGGCATAACATTCAGAAAATGTACATCTGTAATAGCTCCGAGAACCTTCAGGACTCTTTACTTGCTTTTGACCATATTTCCGCCAATTGTACCCATCGGTAGAAGTCTTCAGCTTAGGTGCTGATAGCAGTTTTGGGTTTGAAGAATACTGCCTGTCCTGTTCTGCCAGGCTTGAGTTGTTTCCGTTCTCTATAGATGATGATTTTCTTTCTTGTAAAGCTGAACTTGAACCTGGTGAAATGTTCTGTGAAGCAGAAGTTGGGGAGAGATTCAACTTGGATGGACCATCAGAAACCTTTATCTGATTACGCGTCTCAACATCGGGAGATTGACTAGTATTACCAATTAAAGGTTCCTCGAGGGTGACTCTTACTTGATCCTGAGGTAATTAAGAATAGGAGGATGAAATTATGTAATAAAATCTACTGTATATCATCAAAGATGTGCAGTGTGCCTCTGTTAAATATAAGAAATAAAAGTTGAACAAACATTAAGTCAACGACAGACTTGCTCCATGTATAAACAAAAAGTAAGCATAAATTCCCATCAGCCATTCCGTCAAGTGGGTGAAAGATTTTTAAAAGCCAAGATGTGCATGATAACATGAATTAATGAAGCCAGTTGTTGCTGCAGAAACAGTGCTGCCAGAATACATAAATGAACAGAAAAATTATCTATTCACTTCAGTATAACAGGTCTGATTGATATGAAAAACAGCAATTCAAGCAAAGGCACTTCCAAACACTGTCATTAGCCACTACTTTTTATGCAATATAAACAAAATGAGATCTTTATCTAGTTAGAGATGTTACAACAGTTCCAGCATCAGAAAGTCCGATTCATACATATGCCAATTAAAGAAAGTCCCTTCCAGACTAGAGGGAGTGGAACGTCCCAGAAACAGACGTCTATTATAGGAAATAAAACTATTCAGAAACTGTCATTTAGCCACAACTTTTTTTATAATATAAATAAAACGAGATCTTTATCTAGTTAGCAATAAAACTTTACAACATTTTCAGTGCCAGAAAGGCCGATCATACAGATGCCAATTAAAGAAAGGCAATTCCAGACTAGAGGGAATGAAACTTCCCAGAAACAGTCGTCTAGCCACATTCTTCTCCCTTTTTTTTTTTCAGAAAAGATTAAAATGAAAGCTTGACCTAGTTAGCCATCCAACTTTACAACCATTTAAGTATCAAAAGCTCTGATTGATATGTCAAATGGCAGTTAATGAAATGGCCCTTCAAGGCTAGAGCAAATAAAAATATCCAGAAACAGTCCTTTAGCCTCAAACTTTTTGCATATTTAAAATAGAGTAAATCTCGTTAGCCATCAGGAGCTTGGTGAGCCATATTCCCTACAATAAAACCGACTAACAAAACCATGAAACCTGTATTCAACCAACGTATACTTTGCGAACTCATTCAAACTCTATATGGTAAGAAAAAAATGAGGGGATATAAGTATCTAAATATGAAGATAAGTAAAGAACAAACACAGAATTCTAGCAATGGTAGTATAATAGGTACAGAATTCTCACAAAGAAAGCTGGAACACATGTTAACCATTCAAATAGAAAAAGAAGACATCCAATATGCAACACCAGATTAGCTTATCGATTATTCATGCATGTAAAAGAAATTCTCATTCTGCATTCTTATGCAATCCACTCCCACATAGCTTATTTATTTTATGTCAAATTAATCTAATCAGGAGTCTATATCAATAAATGAATTCAACTCACTTTCAAGAGAAAATATTTGAGAAAAGAACAATTGCATTCCAACAATTTTTTTTTTATAACCGTAGATGTCCATCCCGCTTGTGCGCGCCTCGACTAATCTCATAGGCGCTGAAGTTTATAGTCGGGTACCCATGTGACCCTGAGGGACTGGAACTGGTGACAATCGGGAGAGCAAACTCAAGGTTTGACCAATTGAGCAATCCCTCGAGGTTGCAATCCAGTAAATTTTATCGTATGAAAAATCCAGAAATCAAATTTAATCTGAAATGATTCGAAAAAAGGACCACGCAACTTGCTGCTAACCTTTAATTCATCATCCGAGACTAGCGGTTGCAGAGAATATTCCACCGGCACCTCTGCCAACAAAAAATTCATCAGTCACTAAGCTTTACTCTAACGTACACAAATGCACACGAAAATTTTATCGGAAAAATTCATTTAAAAATCATAAATAAAATGCACCGATTATGAAAGGAGGAACCAGAGGTACCGGAGAGATGCTCAGACGAGAAAGTAAAATTGGATTTGAAATCACTCTCCGACAATTGTGCGGACGGAAGAACTTCAAATTCAGAATCTTTTGATTCTACTGCTACTCCAATTGAAGTACCCTGAACTGGAAAATAACTACTTTCTCGACTCTGTTCATCATCTTTCCCAATTTTTTCTCGAATTTCTTCTTCCCTGTGCGGCTTCGAATTTTCCATTTTCGTCCCTTCCACAGTTTTTGAGGCCCGTTCATTCATTTTCGTGGCCAGATTCCCACACACACTCCAGAGTGTACGTGCGTATTCTGTGACGAAGAAGAAGAAGGAGAGACATGGTAAAGGCTTCCCCTTTCTTTTATCGAACCGTCCATGTAAAATGACAAAATTAGGCCTTATTGAGATATTATTTACTGAGAATGAAGAAGGATAATGAATGGACAAAGGTTGTAAATTGTCATTTTAAAGTTGGGAATTGGTGAGTGGCGTGGAGTTAGGATTTTTGGAGTGGAAAGTATGGGAAATTTGATTATATAATTAAATTATGTGATTCGGGAATTTATTCCGGGTTTGGATTTTTGTGCGGGTTTCTGGGCCAGGTGTTTTGACTCGTGTTGAATCTGGTTCTTGTACTAATGTTACAGTAATACCCTTAGGCCGGCAAAATAATTACACTAAACAAAACGGGAAAATGGCATGCCCGAGGGAGGGAAAATATGAATTATATTTTAGAGGGGTTATCATTACAATTTTCATTTGATACATCATATTTTAATTGTAGTTAAGCTTTTTAATTTTTACTCATTTTAGCAAGTATTTTCTCAATTTTTCCGTCGAATTCTTATTTTCGATCTCATATTATTTAGTACGTTTTGTCCTTAATGATAATTTATATAAAAAAAATTTATTTACATGCTTCAAAACAGGGGAAAAATATTTTTCGCACTTTTATTATTATTATTTTTTAAAATATGGTGAAAAATAAGTTGTTTTACATCATTTTAATAGATTTTTGGACATAAAATTATTACCAAATACAAAATGTGTTAGTTAATGAGAAGTTTGATGATAAGAATTATATGAAAAATCATTAAGATCATAAATGTTATAATGAACAAAGATTAAGAACCTCAAAGTGCAATTAAAATGTTGTGCACGAAATAAAAAATGTGATATGAATATAATTACCTTTTTTATCTTCACTTTTAATTTTCTTAATTTTCCAAGTACCAAATAGATTTAGGGCTTGTTAGGCATAATTTATATAAAAATTATTTACATATTGGCTTGGTTTGGCCTATTTCCTTAGCACCCACTTCGCCAATTTATATTTTCCTATATATATATGTGAGTTTTATTCATAATAAGGTATTTCTAGCCCTAACAAAATCCCTTCTCCTGTCTCCTGTATTCATTTCGTCTCTCGTCTGATCGTTGACTTGATCGTTGGAGTGCAAACGATCGTCAAACCCTTTTTTTTTCGACCGGTGGCATTTGTCTCCTAATTGAGTGTTCTAGTGTACAGGTGACGTCTATGAAAAAGGGATGCGGTCGAGATTCTGCTAGCACATTTTTCGAGATTAACAAACGTTTGAGAAGTACCACCCCTTTTCTCTAAACATGCAACGATCAACATCTTGTCTCCGTTATATTAAGCCTATGTTTGATACCCATTTTTTCTTATTCTCTTTATCATTTTTTTTCTCTTTCTCCATTTCAACCACACATTCTATCAATAAAATAATATTACACATAAACTCAAAAATTCTCCTTACTTTTTAACCACACATTCTTCCATAATCACTATTCCAAATCAAATTCTTCCATAAAAAGAGTGTCAAACAAGGGCTAAATGTTGAAAAAAGCAAGAACCATGCAGTGTAGTTTCTTGGTAGGTTGCAGTGGCGGCGACTAAAGTAACAACGGTTTTCATAGTTTTAACCACCTTACGACAGCCTCAACAGCAAGGCCAGTTGCTATGACAGCCTCAAGGTCGACCGAAAGCTGCAACATTTCGTGAAACAAGGTGCCTGCAAATCTATAATCCAATCATTTTTACAGCAACATGTTTTACAGATTGTTGATGAACGGGTGAATGAATAGTAAATGTTCATGTCATGACAATATTTTTATTACAGCCAATACGTTTGCCACATTATTTATATTTTCATTTCATTATCGACAGCGTATTATCTGTTATGACACTTGATATAGTCTCTGCATAGCCATTCTTGGAGAAGTTTAATTTAATGTTATTCCTGTTATTGTCCTTAGTATTTGGAGGGGTCAAATAGTCTGTTATGACACATGATATACTCTCCGCATAGTCATTCTTGGAGAAGTTTAATTTAATGTTATTCCCGTTATTGTCATTAGTATTTGGAGGGGGTCAAATAGATCTCAATTTACTTTGTATATGTACAATGGAGATATTATGTTATATTGTAGGTTGGTTTAGTCTATATTACAGAAAAGATGTTACTGAATTTTTGACAAATTATATGCAATATCTATCTTTGGAGGCAATCTGTAAGTTCTTGCTTATTCAGACTCGCACAAATATTTTTAAAGCAGCTAGCAAGTCTTCATATATTGGAGCGATTTATATTCTCGGGATAATTCGTAAGTCCTCACATATTTGAGATCGATGCATATTTTCATAGCAGTTCATAAGCTCTCATTTATTGGAGATACTCATATTTTTGAGGCAATTTGTAAGATTTCACTTACTTGACAATTTATATTTCGAAATACGACTCGCGTATCAATGTAGGACTTAGACTTGAGGACTATTATTATACTTATAAATTACGTTACAAGCTCGGATGAAGGATCTTATATATGCCGACAAGCATGTGTTAGCATCGACTATTCAACTAGTTGGACCTATTTAATTAAACAATTGCATCTTTGCCCATTTTATTAGCACCCACTTGGCTAATTTACATTTTCCTATACATATATCCATGTTCTAAAATACGCGCAAATGCGCCGCCTAGGCACGACACGAGGAGAAAACCCGTCGAATTCGAGGTATGCGCGGAAAAATACATTTTTGTTCAAAAAGACTGCGCATTGCGTCGCCTAGAAGCGCCTAATCCCGCCTAGGCGCCTCTAATCCCGCCTAGGCGGATCATTATGCCGCCTATTTTTTTTGGTAAAAAATCTAATTTTTTATATGAAAATATATTTAATGTCTTAAAAATACGAAATGCATTATGGCGCTTATTCTTCGCATTGACACACCTAAACTTGTGATTCTTAATTCTCGGTCTCGAAGTATCGCAACGCATTACGCATTTTAGAATATTGACATATATGAGTTTCATTCATAATAAGGTATGTTTTTTAATTCTAACCAAACCCCTTCTCTAGTTTCTTGTACTCATTTTCTCTCTCATTTGGCTGTTGACTTGACCGTCGGAGTGCAAGCGGTTGTCGTCTCGTCGGACCTTTTTCTTAACCGACGGTCTTTGCCTCCTAACATGGTGCTCCAATGTGCAGGTGAAAGTCAACACAAATCCTTCTTAACCAAGCCACATTTTTGGAGGTTGCTTATTTTATTGTCATTAATACATATTTATTCTCTATTTTCTTCTCTTCAATTAAAATTGTAATATCAAAACTACAATTAGGGTGTGGGTTAATTTCATCGATGGCCACTGTACTTTCATTCAAGTTTCAATTAAGTCACTGTGTCTACAAAATCATTATGCCTATGTTTGGCCTTCATTTTTTCAAAACTCATTTTCAACCACACATTCACTCAAAAAATAATTTTATACGTAAATTTAAATTTATTATTTATTTTTTAACCACACATTCTCCAATAAAACACTATTTAAAAATACATTTGACCCCAAAGTGGGGATCAGACATGGGTATATAAACTATAATAATATTTTAATGGTTTTCAAGTTTATGGAGTAAAAAAATTATTTAATTGTATAGATTGTGAATTGGGGTATAGAAATCGACCAACTTGGTAGTTGCCACAATTTTAAGTGTTGAGTTGGCATAACAATAATGTCCACTTGGGCGGATTGACGTCTACACCCACGTTATCAACAATTTCTTTTCTTTTTACTTGTACTATTTTCACTTTATTGCAGAAGGACACAAAGATATGGATTAAGCGACCAAATTACATGAAAACATCTAGTGTTCTTTGCCATTCTCGTACGGGACCATATGTCCATACTTTTTACATTTTTTTTTTCTTTTTTAAAGAAAAAGGTCATTATTGTGCATCATATGCTATGATATTGTAGGTGAATCCAGTGACACGATGAATTGAACATGATTAGACAGTGTCTTTCTCTTTTAATTATACCTAGTGTTGTCCAGTGTTCAGCATATTATGCATGCTTTACAGTAACTAAAGCACTTCTCAAGAACTAACTATAATATCGCCACAAGAACTTCATGAGCTTATCCAATTGGGAAATGAAAACCAACGGCATTTAGTCTCGAATTCCCCCTATACGTGCAAAGATGATTGAACATTAGAATCTATTTAAAGTCAATTAGAACAAATGTCAAGTGCCTCATACTCAAACTAGCTACAAGATGACTTACAAATTAACAATTTATTAACTAAAAAACTAAGTAGCCACTAAAGATCACAATAAATAGTGTGAACCATCACATTTAAAAGTTCAAGTAAAAGGGATCAACGTATTCATTTTTCTTGTTAACACGTCACTTCGCTACATGATTTCTATTATTTAAACAAATGAATGTCATGTTCGCAATGCGTGTTGACAAATAACACGTTGAAATAAACTCATTCAAACTTTTAAATTATTAGGGAAAGTCATGTATTCACTCTCTTACAAATGCTAGCGCTGGAGACTTTTTCGAATATATATATTAACAAATCTAGCTCTAAAATATATCTTTTGCGTGTGCACGCGCGCGTGTGTGAATTTGTTGTATAGAGTTGAAATGATCTGTTCATAGTTGATTTTCATGGTTTCTAGATTCTTAAATCTCGATTTTTGTTAGTTGAAATAGTCAATTAATTGGATTTGAATTGATAACAAGAGATTTACGATGGTTATTATGGTAAAATTATATTGATCGTTTTTCGTTCCTTGACAAAAATAATTTTGCCTCTTTTTTTAAATCGTTTTATCTTTTCCCTTTCCCAATTCTTTGTATAGACAAAATAATTTGAATTTTATAGATATATATTATCATTTTAATTGATTTGCTTGTAACAGAAATGCCCGTATGGCTGTGCATTTTACCACCTCAACCTCACCATAGATATAATATTTTCTAATATTAATGCCTAAGAATTATGAAACTTCAATTACAATATCTTCTCTACTTTAGTGTCATTTCCGTCAATTTCATTTTTTTGTAATATGGTGGAAGGGTTTGCGAAGAACATAAAGTCCATCACTCAACATGATCAAAGTATACTAATATTTAGAAAATTACCCTAAATCCTACATTTTAAATACCAATTTCAAAAATTAGATGTTTTTATTTTTCTTTCAATGATCAGGAGTAAATATTATTTCAAAAATTTATATATCATTTCTCTCTCTCTCTCTCTCTCTCCCCAGCTTTGGCAGTCGTCTTCTCCCGACATAATCTCTCTCTACTCTCTCTTTGTACATAAATCGACACTGCTAATCATCTCCTCACCTCCTCCCTAAACTACCGCTCCAGCTACTCTCCATCACGAACGCCTTCATACCTCGAAATATGTCATAAAAATAGTAGTTGATGGTGGTGCGGTGGATGTTGTGGTGCGTGACTGTGGTGGTGGTGAAGTGGCAACGACGTTTGGCTATAGATCTGCGTGGTGGTTTTGTTGTGTGTAGAACCCCGTGATGGTAGTGCAGTGGTGGTGGTGGTGGTAATGTGACAACAACATTTGGGTGGTAACGGTGGTGGTGGAGTGGGGTGAAATGAAGAGCGATCGTGATCAAATATTTGGATAATTATGACTAATAAAATGGGTAATTTATGTGATTCCAAAAAATATGTGTGATTTGCAACTAAATTTGTAATTGTGATCCATAGTCCTGTTATTGTATGAAATCTAAAATCAAGGTGGTGCTGACGATATCACATTGTGTTACACAATTATGGTGATGGTGGGGCCGGTGATCTATGTTCCTTTTAACGATGCCAGTGGATTGTAACAAGATACGTTACAATAAGGATAGTAAGGTGGTTCAGCAATAGGGTTAGCAACTGTGGTGTGTAACAATGTTTGTTACAATGGTAGCGAAGACAACTATAGTATAACAATTAATGTTAGAAGATGTGGTGATGAAGGTAGTCGCAGTGACAACAAAAATAGGCCATAAAATGTGTTACAACTTACAAGTGAAGGCAACGACAACAAAAATAAGTGGTCAAATGTTTATAACATAATTCAACAAAAAAATAATGCACCATATTACAAAATTTATTGTATTAAAATTATAAAAATAAATAAATAAATGTTTGATAGTATATTAGAAATTAGTAAGCTTTTGTCATGCATTTGTGAATTATTCCCTTATTAACAACAAAATGTCACAAGTCAAATCTTCCCTACCTACCATCTAATTATATTCCAGTATTACTTGCAAAACATGTGTATTCAGTACACTATCAAATTTTAAAAGTCAAATCCAATTTTATAGTAAAAATAAAGATTTAAATAAAAATAATAATTTTCCCAAATCAATAAAAATAAAAGTTTCACTAACTTTATCTTCATATGGTAAAAATTATTACAGACAATGAATACTGGATATTTCCTCACGGCCATTATAAACCCCCACCCCCAGAAGGGCACAATAATTCATTCACTACTGATAAGCTTCACTTTCAAGATTATGCCCAGAAAATAATTACTTTTTTTGGCTGTGATTCATTATTTCACCAAATGATGCATAATAATTAAATTAAATAATCAGAAATAAGTTACTTCAGTTTTAAGTTGTTTCAGTCAAAGTGCTCATTATGTGGGTTAATTAAAGTGGCATTATTTTATTTTAGGCTAAAGATTTCTGGTTAATGCTAATTATTCCATTCAAGAAGATATCTGGATGATGGACAAAGAGTAATTTTGAGGTTGGGCGTGCCTAAAGACTGCTTTTAATGCGATTAAGCCATGTTTGGTAAGATGTGTCGAACAATATTACTCTGTTATATAAAATTTTGTTTATCATACTAATTTGTCTTGTTCAATATTGCGTACCAAACATGACCTTAAAGATTTAAAGTATATCGACCTAGTTGTACATACTTGAAAATTTTTAAACGGGGTAAGGCGGCCAAGGTTTAACGGCTTCCCTGGCGGAACAAATTTAGCCTTTCGGGGGGTTTTTTTTTTCCTTCTTAATTTAGTCAACTTTTGTGAGAGCTCGTCTTAGCTCGCCTCTTTTTCGATAGGTTGAACTAGCCTAACCCGATAAAAATGTGGATCGTACACAGATCACCCGCGCAATCGCCATAACTAAGCACGTCTCACTTTATGTTTCTAACCGCAGCCTATATCTATGGCAAATCTCTCTTAACTTTGAGAAACTTGTAAGCATATTTCATACAGATTCCTGGAAGAGTTTCAGCTTTTTCTTATCAACAATCAAAAGCATCAATCCTTTTGCACAACCAAACACAAAAAATATGTAAATAAATAAATAAAATAAAATAAAATAATGACATTAAACAAAGTTTGAAAGCCATAATTAAGTCCATAATGTTATAATTATAACTAGTGAGATTGTCATAATTACTTGGGATTTTTTTTCAAGAAAATAGCCATGTGGAGTCATATTTTGATGAGGTAAGCACACAGTTCTAGTATTCACCTAGATTTTCAAAGTATACATTTGTGTCTCTAGACTTGACACATTCAAATCGGACAAATCACTTCAAAAGAACTATTTAGAAATATGTTCAAGAAGAACTTTTTAATCTCAAAAACTGCTTTTAACCTTTTAAAAATCTTAGGGTCAGGAGTATAAGTAGTGAAGGAATCTGGGAACCAACAAGGGTAAAACCCGCGATTTACCTCCTCGAGTCGCTGAGGGGCCGTGGCTAGAGGTCCAGGATTTAGTCTGACTAAACTGGAATACCTGAGTATCCCAAAAAAAAAAAATCTTATCAAACTAACTCTTAGGCCATGTTTGATAAGGGACATTTTCCATGGAAGTGAGAAAAAGGATTCCATTTTCCAACTTTGAAGCCGTTTGATAGACAATACTTTGCCCAGAATTCATTTTCTACTTACCAACCTCACGCGCCAACTTTCTTGCTTTTTAAGGAATTTGTTTTCTTTGGTTTTTGGTGGGAATATGATTTTCCATCTTTTTTTTTGTTTTTATTTGCAATTGGTACAAATTCCAAATCCAATGGTAAAAAAATCTACAAAAAAATTTTTTGATTTTTTTTTTTAAAACTTTTTGGCAATCCAAACAAATTTTAATATAGATTATAAAAAAATTTATCCCAAAAAGTAACAATTTGCATGAAAAACAAAGTCAAACGGATTAGATGGAAAATTATACTAATCAGACACAATTAATTACAATTTTCAGTAAAACAATTTTTAGACAATTCAATTCCCTGAAATTCATTTTCTTTTTACCTATTTTCCACATTTACAATCAAACAGACCCTTAATATATTTCAAAAGCATTCTTTCGTTTCAAGTATGTAGTCTTGAATACTGTACACTCCACTCACCAAAAAGGCTGTGTAAGTTTCGCAGGGTGATCACATGTAAATCTGAGATTTCTCTAATCTCCATAAACAACATACTTTTCTAGTTCCTGTGCTAAAGTAGAGAGAAAAGAAGAAGTATTAAGATTTGAAGTACGATCTTAAAAGATCAATTTTATTAAGAAAAGTAGTCAAGATTTTATATGTTCATCTATTGGATTTTTCGCTTAACTATAGTAAGTTCAATGCTGTGTTTATAAGACATGAGATAACATGAAAAATTTTGAAAATAGTAAGAAAAAAAATAGTATGAAGAATATGATCTTTAAGGATCAAACATTATTGTAAAACTTAAGCATTTAGGATTTAGCAACCAACAATGGTTGTTAACTGAGAAAAACGGCAGATCCACAAACAAACTCAGGTGGCTGCTATTCATATCCATCAAGGCAGCATAGCGAGCCCTCATAACAGAAAACGAAAAAAATTGCGAATAATTCAATCTTTTCCTATGGAGCGTCTTCATTATGGTGTGATCGGTTCAAGATCCTTAAGTAGTCCAACTACTTGTTGCATACTCGGCCTCTTTGAAGGAAGTTCGGCAGTGCATAGATATCCAATCTTCAAAGCCTCGACCATTTGTTCCTCAAATTCTGCTCCATTGATTTTTGGATCAATAGCTTGTGATCCCTTGTTTCCCCTTACTAATCCTCGTACCCAACTTACTAATGTGCCATCTTTTTCCTCGGGATAATAATCTCCAACGGGCCTTTTCCCGGTAATTAGTTCAAAAAGAATTACTCCAAATCCATAAACGTCATATTTTGGTGTTGGTGGCTGTGAGGAACCAGTTTGTGTCTGAAGAAACTCTGGTGGCACATATCCAATTGACCCTCGTGAATGTTCACCCTCAAGGTCATTCCCGAAAATTTTAGCCAGTCCAAAGTCTAATAATCTTGGCTCCAAGTTTGAGTCAAGATAAACACTGCTTGCTTTGACATCTCGGTGAATAATGGGAGGCGAGCAGCCATGGTGAAGAAATGCAAGTGCACGAGCTGTACCAAGCGCAATTTTGTGCCTAAATCTCCAATTCAATATTGACGCTTCCGATCCAACATTTTGGATCATATTATTTTCATTTTCTTCACACATGTCGGAGCTCCAGTCTTCTGTAGTTTGAACACCGAGTGGCAAATCATAGAGCAAATTCTGCAGATTTCCGTTCTCCATGCATTCATAAATTGCAATCCTTTGGTCTCCAGCCAAGCAATATCCAGTTAGTGGAACAAGATTGGGATGCTTAATTCGACCAAGATACTCGAGTTCTCTCGCAGCTTCTTGGTCAGTCATGGTCGAACCATGGACCAATACTTTAAAAGCAATAGGAATTCCACCCTGTAACAATCCAGCATAAACAGGCCCAAACCTCCCTTCAGCCAACAACGTGCTCCGATCAAAATGAGAAGTTGCAGACAGAAGGTCCGCAAATGTGAAATTAAGCAGTGGCTTCTCAAATATTACCACCGGTACGGATGTTGCTTGCTTAACATCAGCTACCCAAGTAGTCGAATCAGTCTGGAATGAAAAGGGTCCAGACATGGTTTGTTCTTCTTTACAGGAATTTTGTTTCACAGCCCACATTCTGGTTCTTCTTCGACAACCAAAGGCTAAAAAGAGCAACCCCAAAAGTAGACAAACCATGGAGAGGGTAAGAACCAGGGGAAGCTCAAGTCCCCTACGTTTCGGAGCTTTTCTTTTAAAGAAAGCTGGATTTGCAGCAATTGGGCAGCTGTTCACTGACCCAATGAAAGCCACTTGAATGGTTTCTGGAGAGATTTCTGAAGCACAAAAGCTTAGTTTGTTATACGAGAAATTGAAGCTCACCATCTCCTGAAGTTTTTGTAAGAGCATCAAAGGGATCTCTCCAGTTAGATCATTGTAAGAAACATCTAGAACTCGAAGATTTTTGGTATTGAACTGAGGAATATGGTTGCTGAGGTGGTTCTTGGAAAGATCAAGCGTTCTCAAACTACTCATATGTGATATGATACTCGGAATTCCACCAATCAAATTAGTTCCAGACAAATTCAGATATTCTAAATTGTAGAGCATATCAATTTGCAAGAATGGTTGTTTGATAAATCTATTGTGTGCAAGATTAAGGTGTTTCAGATTTTCAGCAAGTTTTAAGTCAGTGGAAAAGTGCCCACTAAACTGATTCTCAGATAAATCCAAATAAACCAATCTCGACCAATTGAAGCTGGAAGTGAAATTTACCTGAGAAATTTGGCCTTGAAATTGATTACTGCTCAAATCAATCACCTCCAATGGTCCTTCAAAGAGACCAACAACAGAACCCTTAAACAGATTGCTTGAAAGATTAAGATAACTGATCAATGCCATCCCTGAAAAATCAGAATCCTGACCTCGAATCTCATTTTCAGCCAGATTCAAGAATCTCAACTTAGGCAATGCAGCACCTAATCCACTAGGAAGAGAGCCATTAAGCTTGTTTCCAGAAAGATCAATGGAAACCATCGACCGGCATTGTAAGATCCCCAATGGTATAACTGATTCAAACCCATTTGTACTGAGATTAAGAACTTGCAGACTGATTAGGGAGCTTATGGCTTCAGGAATACTCCCAGAGAAATTATTAAAAGAAAGATCCAAACTTTGAAGTTGCCCAAAATTCCCTATGTTGCTGGGGAGAATTCCAGAAATTTGGTTAAATGAAAGATTAAGATTCTTGAGTGAATTCAAACTCCAAAAATCAGAAGACAGACCAGTAATTTTGTTATTGCTTAGATCCAAAAATTCAAGATTTTTCAGTTTTCCAATGGTGTTGTCAGGAATTACACCATATAAATCCAAACCAGAAGCTTCCAATTTAACAACATATTCTCCATTGGCATCACAAAACACCCCTTTCCATGAACAAAAAGAGCCAGAAAAATCATACCCTTTGGTGGAATTTACGCCCATTCTTCGCAAGAAATCATAGATAAAGAAATCATCTGTATTGGGATTTTGGCAAACAAAGGACCTAAAGAACAGACTGAGAATCAAAATAGAATTAAAGAAACTGAAACCCATTTTTGGATAAGGTCTATAAGATAGAAAAACAAATTGAACACCTCCTCCCAGTCTCTCACTTTTCCAGAGCTTCAATACCACCAATTTTGCAGCATAAATTCTTCTTCTGTGACTATTTTGTGGCTTCTGCAACACCCATTAATCCATAACATAATAAAAAACGAAAACGAAAAAAGAGACGTGACATCACAAATACTTGACCATAATCACCACCACACAAACTTCAGGGTTCATGAGAATGCTATAAAGTGAAATTTTTTATTTTTTTGGATTTCAGAATCCCGAGAAGTATGAAATTAACAATACAAACACAAATGGGATTCTGGAAATGATTTAAGATTTAGTCTGAAGAGAAGAGAAAGAACTTGACTACGTGATTTTATCTTCTTGTCTGGGCTTTTGCAGGTTTTAACGCAGCCAAGACAGAATAATAAAACAAAATCCAAGTGAATAGTCTTTGTCTGTCTTAAGCAAGCTCAAAATTTCTGCATAAACCTCGAATTTTAGCATGAAAACAAGGAAGTTAACGAGAAGCCTGGAGGTGGGGATCTTGACGTGCTGGGGCTGCTATAAATGTACCATGTAAAGATATAGATAGGCAATTTCTTAAAAAGGATCAAGAGTATCCTGAAAAAATAAATACTAGAAGACTTTTGATGTTTGTTCTAGCTACGGCATCTCCAATGGCACCTTTATATTTGGTGTAAAACATCGTAAAAGTTCATTCAATGATACATCAAATATAGTGCAATTTTTAGTGTAACGAATGCTGTTACACCAAATTTAGAGTTTTTCATTTAATCTCATTTTGCCCTAAAAATTATTTCTTTCATCTATGTCCTTATTTAATATTTTAATATTCATAAATTTTAATTGATTTATAATTATATTAACATGATGATTATTTTTATTTAACATTTATTTTTAAATTCTAACCAATTAATAAGTAATAGTTATTTCAACAATAAATTTAGATTGTTCATTAAAAATTCAAAAGTTATAAACTTGATAATAAATTAGCACTATTTTAATAAATGTAATATTTTACTTCATTAAATATAATTAACGTCTTTTGTAATAATAAAATTTGGTATAAAATAATTCCAAATAAAATTTGATGTAAGATTTGTAATTCCTAAGGCTCTAAATTATCTATCCTTGTCATGACTTATCGAATCTAAAGAGCTAGTCAATCCAAAATCCAACTTGTCAAATGTCAAGTTGTAAGGTTTGGTCCAATAAAATCTCTACTTCGACTTAAAATTTTTTTTATATATAAAATAAAATAAATAAATTATTAACAAAATTATTTTAATAAAGAATTAAAGAGAACCTTTTTCTTCTTGATTTCTAAAAATGTCATTTAAAAATAAGTAATGCTATTTTAGCATAATTGATGCTAAAGACTATTTTAGGTATCGTTAATTGATTAGATTATTTTACAAGCAAGGACACGAGTTTCATTTGAAAATGACTTGTCATTTAAATACATATAGACTAGCCATATAGTATTATTCTTTAAAAATTCCTTGAAAATAAATTGATTGGTTAGGAGTTCAACGCTTCGAAAATAGAAAAGATAAAGAAATATACACATTGCATACACCATATATACGTATGTGCATACATACACACATGGAGAAATAATCTACTAAACATTGTTACTTAACTAATTAATATGTAGTTTAAGTAATTAACTAACTAACTAATATTACTTAGTAGATCATTTTTTTGTGACGTTAATTAATTCGACATTTTAAATACTATATTTAAGATGATAAAACAATTAAAGTATTAAATATCCCATTACTGCTTATGGATACTAGGTAAATAACATTATTCTAAACAAAAATGGAGTGATTTTAGATGGAAAATTCAATGATGATAAGTTAGTGCATCACTCATCATTTTTTATGATACAAGTTGAATTATTTGCCATAATTGAATTTTCTCAACAAAATGCAGCCCAAGTCATAAGTGATTATGATTATGTATTTTAGAATTAGTATATTGATTGATGTCACTAGGGGTGGACATGGGTTGAGTTTGGTTGGGTACTTGGGTTGGGTCGATTTTTACCTCAACTCGAACCCAACCCGACATGATCGGTTTAATCATAATTTAACACAACTCAACCCAATCAAGGATCGGTCAGGTTGGGACAACTTGTCAACAAAGATTAAAGTAGTTGAGTCGGGTTAGACGGATTTATAATTGACTCTTGACTTATATAATATTTGATCTCCATAATTGCAATGAACAAAAAAAATCTGAATTATTTTAGCACTTCATACCCGGAGATGTTACATAAACAGATTGATATTAAATTATATGAAGTCTAGAAAATGTGTATTTGCTTATATTATTTTTCGTAAAATGCATTCTATCCAAATTTTATAATATTATTTTAAGAGTTTTCAACCAACATCATAATACTTGTAAAATTCATAAATATAATCGGGTTGGGTTGCGTGGATTTATTCGATTTTTATGAGTTAACTCATAATCTGACCCAACACAACCAACCAATCCAACCCGTATAAGAACAACAAAAAAACTAACACAAACTGATTGGGTTAGTTCAGTTTGGACGATTTTGATGAGTTCGGTTGGGTTTTGCCCACCCCTATATGTCACTTGTATAAGTGATTATGATTATACATCATCTTTGTTCTTATTGGATGAATTTAAAAAGTAATTGTACAAGATTTTTACACTATTACGATATTCTTGAATTCTTTCTTCAATTTTTTTTCTTGTGGCTTTCATGATAGCTTCTAAGAGATTGTGTCTTTTGAGACGTGGCTCCATGAATGGTTATAATCTTTACGTTTAAATGATGTGAATTGCTTAATGAATGTATAATGGGAGTTTATTTTTTTATACGCTACATATGTAATCATATTCATTTTAATCTTATCTTATCTTTTTTTTTTTTTTTATAACCGTGAATGTCCGGGCCAACGCGGACCTCGACTAATTTCACGGGGCCCTGAAGTTTATGGTCGGGTACTCACTTCAATGGCCATGAGGGAATTCGAACTGGTGACCATTGGGGAATAAATCCAATCTTATCTTTATTTATATTTATAAAGCATATTCCATCTTTGTTTGGTCTCAATTTTTTAAAAAACATTTTTCTCAAACTCATTTTAATTACATATTTTATGAAACTCACAACTTTTATTTACTTTTCAATTACACGTTTAATCAAATTGTATTAAAATTTACTAAAAATATGATTTTTAGCCAAATAAAATAGGGGCGATCTCTTGAAGTAATTTTTTCTAGGTTGAGGTTGGAGTCTCGACGAATTTGAGACATGTCAAGTAGAAATTTTGAAATTTTTCATCAAACGAGATCGAGAATCAAACATTATCTATTAAAGAATGAGAGGCAGCGAGCGACTAGATTCGAATTTTCTGAAGGAAATAAAGGCTTAGACTCACCTAGTCATGGATGGTGCAATCCACCTCCACAAGAATCACAACCTTATGCTGGTGGATAGAACCAAACTAAAGAAAGACAAGGTAAAAGTAGTTGTTGACTTTCCTTCAAAACTTTGTAAAATTTGGCACAATGTAAATTTTATTTATGTTATCCTTCTTTTACTTTCCTAAAGTGCAGCATTTATCTCTCCACTTTTAAGGCTATTCAACCAAAAAAAGTTAGTTAAAATTCCTTCTTCCTTTTTTGATGATTCTCCACTCTTTTGAGATTTAAAAACTGAAAATATAGAAAGGTATCATATTAAGAAACTCCATTTTGAATCTTTCAATTAATTAAGATCAAAGAGAATCCGACAAACAAAATAGTTATTCCCCATTTGTTAGGTCAAAAGTGCAATCTACATGCGTTTGAGATAAAAAAGTTGAGACCCATCTCCACTTCAGTTGTCACGACTCATCTCTGTCTGGACCAATGTATCTTGCCTCGCCATGCTCGAATTTTAACATTTTTCCGTCTTTAATATTGTCGAATACTTTTGAATCTACCTTGTGCTATAGAAGGTGCCCACAATCATTGCCAATCCTTCTCTCTTTCATTAGAGGTCGCCGAAAAATGGAGAAGCAAAATAGGGAGTCGAGAAGATCTTGGCCAAAGTCCACGACAATACACTCCTACGCATTGACGTGGACAGTTCTATTGCAACATAGGAGAACGATTTATCCAATAATACATGTTATTACTTAACTATACGATAAAAATAATGCACCACGTGTTTCCCTATATGATGGTCACTATTAACTCAGGTAAACAAGACAGGGTGCCTTAGATGAAAAAGAAATAAAAGTTTAGGGACTAATTTGAAACCCAAAAAACCAAGAGTGTATTCGGCCTGAATATGGGTATGTGCTCTGTTATTGGCCCATATTAACCAAGAGAATGTAGAAGCTGCCATTGCCAAGGATTGTTACCTGGAAAACCATATAATTTCTTCAGTCAAACAGCACTTCCACTTAAAAAGGCATTTTTTGAAACATGATCATAAGTACAACAGTATAATCTTATGAGGAAATGGTGGTCAACGGCTGGTCGACCCAGTCTAATTTCCACAATAGCTTTTGATCAGATTAAACTAACAAAATTTCCCGAAGGGCAAAAAAATAAGAGAAGGGGAAAAAATCTTACTGAAGAAATCAACTTCAACACTATTCACCATCATCATCTTCTACACATTTAATCAAGTTTAGTTTTAGTTTTTATTATTTAAATTTTATGATTTTACGAATGTGCTCTTTGATTTTTATATTCAATCTTGATAAAATCTATGAATTTATGCTTTTAATGCATGGTTTGAGATAGATACATTGTTAGAATCGAGACAATGGTCCGGGAGTCTGGCCTAGACTCTACTTCGGGCGTCTTGGTCATTTGCGTCTTGGTCA